GCCTGGCTCCTCCCGGCTAGAACGCCGAGCACAGGGATGCGCTCGCACTCACCAGTGTGCCAGGCGCGCAGGAGCGTCCGTGGCATGGAGGACCCCGATGTGAGCTCCCTCCTCCTGGGCCAGGCACGTGAACTTAAGAGTTTAGTGTATTAATTCCAAACTCCGGAAGAGAATCTTAGTCTAATAGCCCTTTCAAGGAGGCCAGTCTTTCCTCCCTCTATGTAGCAAAGCTGAGGTCATTTTTAGCTTTAAAATCCCAAGTTTTTGAAATATAATGCAATACTATTATTAATAATGGTGGCAGGATCAGATCAGTGGCACATCTTAGAGTTTGTTTGCTTGAAAGACACAATACTATAGGTTATAAGATACATAGGGATTTTTTTATCCTCACCCGAGGGTATGCTTATTGATTTTAGAGAGAAGAAGGAAGGGGGGGGCACTGATGTGAGAGGGAAACATTGATCAGTTGCCTCCCATACGCACACCGACCAGGGATCGAACCTGCAACCTAGGTATGTGCCCTGACTGGGAATTGAACCTGCAAACTTTGGTGTACAGGGTGATGTTCCAATCAACTGAGCCACCAGCCAGGGATGAAAGGGTTTTATTTGCCCGGTAGGACATCCAAATCTGTAGGGCAAAGGGTGCCTTTAAAGAGAGTTTTAGGACTCAAGCAAGTCTGGTAGTGACTGTTTTGAGTTGGAACTATAGCTCCAAAACTTCCTGTACAGTGAAGGGTCAGAATGGAGGTGGGGGTGAGGGCGATACTGGGAAGAAGCCAGAGAACTTGAACCACTGGAGAGGATGGTCAAAAACGGAGAAATTACTTTTTAGAAGATTCATTTTGACAGCAAAATAGAGAATGGATTGCAGATGGAGGGGCAGGAGGTTGGCTCCTTCCCCTGTCTATTTACCAGCCCAGCAAACAGTTTTGAATGTTGGTTCTGAGAACAAACTCAACCTCAAGGATAAGATAGGACGGTGATTCACATCCTGCCCTGTCACTCACCCTCTGTGCGACTCTGGCGAATCACTTAATCAGTCAGTAATTCAACTTTATCAACTGAAAAATAAGACTAATAGTAATATCCATGAATGCTTCCTAGGTTGGTTGAGAAGGTTAAATAAGATAATACTTAGTGAGTGCTTGGGACAGTGCCAGGAATTATTAAACAGTCACGAACAGGCTGGGGCACAGACTCCGGTACACCGTGCCCGGGGCTGCCGAAGCCGTGGGTGTGGAGACGTCGCGGCGCGAGTCCCACCGGGCTCACTGGGCACGTCCACCTTGCAGAGCGCGTGCTGCACAGTGTGGGCGGCCAGGCTCTGCCGCCGGCAGTGGGTGGGGCTTCCTCTTAATACCAGACGGAATGTGTCCAATGCTTTGATCAGTTCCGAGGTGGAATTTAGAGAACATTTCTGGAGAAGGTGGGTTTGAGATGAGTCCTACCGGGTGAGCAGGACTCCCCGGCAGGTGAATGCCCAGGGGCAGGCCGGTTCGTGCACAAGCAGAGATCGATGGCACGGATGTCAGGAGGCAGCAGAATGAGGACCATGTTAGGAAAACCAGAGAAAGATAAATAGGACAAAAATAAAAAGCATAAGCAGAGATAAAGTATTGAAATATAGGGAAATGTCAAAGTATTTTTAGTAGAGAACTTTGAATTCCATTTTGAGGATTTTAGACTTTACTATGAATGCTGGTAGGGGGTAGAAAGACACTGTGACATACATTTAGTCAGATTCAAGGACAACATTATGAAGGAGTGTGGAAGAGGAAAAGGAGATGGGGGAGACCACGGGGAGTCTATCAGAAGAGTCTGGGCAAGAAGCAGAGAATCGAGTGGCTGCGCTGGAGAGGGAGGGAGAGGCCGGGCCCTGAGCCTCACTGAGGTACAGCGGATGGGGTTCAGTGATGCGCTCTTCGTGGGGTGAGGTGGGAGAGGTGGGTTTGCAGCCTGAGACCAGGACATGATCATGCTCTTGAGAATGGGAAGGGGGTGGTCTTCAGGTGGAGGTGCTCCTGAGACATGTTGGAGGAAATGTCCTGGCAGAAGACTGCCGGACTGAAGTTAGTGAGTGTGAGCAGAGCCGGAAGCAGCAGGGCGTCTTCTGCTTCAAGGTGGAAGTCACCGGAGCCAGAAAATGGCTCGGGTGCAGGACTGACTCATCGCTGGGGCTGCGGTTCACTGGGAGCAGCCAGAGAGGAGCTGGTGGCTGAGACAGGACGAAGAACAGGGGAGCCGTGTGTCACCAGGAAGAGGAGGCGAGAGGTTCAAGAACAGCACAGATGATCAACAGTATTATATGCACAGGGATTAAAGTGACAAATGGCACAATAAATTGTTTATTGACTGATCTTGGGTGGCGTGTGTAGGGTCAGCTGACCTGGGGCCTCTAGGGGATGAGGAAGTCATGGGCATGGTGATTGAGAGTCTGATATTCATGTGGTTTTTGGATAGTTGGAGTGAGCTTCCTCTAGGTAAGAAAGTTTCACCCGCCCTGGAGGTTTGGCTCAGCGGTTAGAGCGTTGGCCTGCCAACCAAAGAGTCGCAGGTTTGATTCCGATCAGGGTCATGTTCCTTGGTTGTGGTTTGGTCCTCAGCCCTGGTCAGGGTCTTGCAGGAGGCAACCAGTCAATATGTCCCTCTCACATCGCTGTTTCTCTCTCTGTCTCCCTCCCTCCCTCCCTGCCACTCTATCTGAAGATAAGTGGGAAAATGTATCTTCAGGTGAGGATAAAAAAAAATAAAAAGAAAAAGCATGTTTTGCCCACCTCTTGTGTGAATTCCTCATGAGCAATTCAGAGTTTGAGGGAGGAAAAAGGGGTCTCTCCATTCCCGAGTCTGGAATCACCGGCATGATGTCCCTTATCTACGGAGAAGACAGGAGCCACAGTGGGGTCACTGTCGAGGCGGCGTGGCCAGGTGTCAGCCAGCTCCCGGCTCCTCTCGGCACACTGGTCGAGGTCAGGCATGCAGTTCCTGGCTGCTCTTCCGGCACAGTAACCCTAGAAGACAGTTTAAAACTCGGAGCACTTGGCTGTGCCTGGCGGTTGCCTGCCCAGGGATGTGTGTGAAGGTCTACTTACGACCCTTCTGAAGCTCAGCTTTTCCAGCAGAGGACGAGGAGCATATTGTTCTTTTTAGGGTTTGTAGCACTGAATGAGTTCAGAGTCAGAGAGTGGGGTGAGAACCCGAAGGGCCTCATTTTCTAAATCACAGTTAATGTTGGTCTACTAAGTGAGTTTCTAAATTTAAATTCTTTTCCAGCACAGAGCAGAGCCCCTTATACATCCTGTGGTCACATGTGTCTTTCCTTTCTCTGCTCCCCCTTTTCCCTCTCTCCCTCAGTTTTCCTCCAAAAACCAGAACACGGCCCTCTCCCAGGACCTGCTGGTTTGGGCTTTAGGGCTCCGTCCCTGTGCTCTCTGCTGAGGATCCCAGGTGGAAGTTCCTGCTGGAGGGGGCATGGTTTCCCTTGCAAATGGGTCTGATGAGGCTGCAGCTGGGTCTATGCAAATAGCAGGGTTCCCTGCCCTGCACTCCCCTAGCTCAGGGAAGGACAGGTGAGGCTCCCGAGCAGATCCTAGGGCCCCTGCAGCCTGGCTCCGGGCTGTTTCCAGAGCCTGCCCTGCCCCCTGACTGCACTGGGGGAGGGACTCCTGTTTTTCATCTCCCTCCCCTGTGCTCTTGGTCTTTCCAGTCTCACACTCGTGCTCCTTCCCAGGTCCACTGTCCTTTCCTGCGAAACCTTTTCCCTTTTCCTCTTCTTTCGTTCATTCTCTCAGAGCAAAGCAAACACCTATTAGAACTTGACTGCGTTTATTTTCGTCTCTTCTCCTGTCCATTAAGAACACATGTTAATACCCAACAGTAAACATTTATACCACTTATAAGTGCTTCGGGAAGTGAACTTGATACTGTGGGCTGTGGAAATGAATTTGGGAGGAGGGTAATAGGAGTGCGAGACCTGCTGTGGTGTGTTCGTCTCCACCTGGGCTGGGGAGCAGAACATGGCTTACAAGGAGGTAGTATGGTGTGGGCGAGTTACAAGTCAGAAGACCCAAATTCTGTGTCTAAAATCTCTGGGATCAAGGCCACTTAGCTTCTCTCTGCCATGCATCGGTCTTCGTTTTTAAAATAGGGATTATGGCATTTCTCACTGCTACCTTGGTGGACTGATTTAAGAACCAGTGAAATAAGGTCCGGTCAGTGTGGCTCAGTGGTTGAGCGTCAACCCATGTGCCAAGAGGTTGCCAGTTCGATTCCCCGTCAAGGCGCATGCCCAGGTTGTGGGCCAAATCCCCAGTTGGGGCATGCAGGAGGCAGCCAATCAATGTTCTCTCCCATCGATGTTTCTAGATGTTTCTCTCTCTCCTTCTCCCTCTCCCTTCCTCTCTCTCTAATCAATAAAGGGGGGGAAAAAAGAACCAGTGAAATAATGTGTGTGTGAATGCTTTGAAAGGTGGGAATTATTGTTATGTATATGCACAAATATATCCCAATCAAAATGAAAAAACTGGATTTGCAGCATATGCAAATTGAGCTCATAGTATTGAATGATCTCTAATGTGTCTTTCAGCCCTTAACATCTGTTTTTTTCCTGGGCAGTTTTTGGCGTATTATAGGGGCTCTAACAGTATTTGGACGGATGGACAGACGGATGGAGGGAGGGAGGGAAGGATGGATGGATGGATGGATGGATGGATGGATGGATGGATGGATGGATGGATGGATGGATGAGTGGGTGGGTATCTAAATGTCCCTTTGCCCTACTTACCCCTTCCTAGTCCTATTTCCATTTCACGTTGACACCACCGCCCTCTTCTGGCCAGCAGCAGTATTACGGCGCAGTGAGTGTAGGGAGGCCCTTTCCTCCCTTTCTCCCCAGCCCCAGCCCCTGCTCCCTGAGCCAGCTCCTTGGGACCTGTCCTGGCCTTCCGTCACTCAGGGCCTGCCTTTCCTCCCCACCCCACCGTCCCTCTGCCCCTGCAGCACGGCCAGTAACTCCAACCGCAGCACGCCGGCCTGCTCCCCTGTCCTCCGGAAGCGGTCTCGCTCGCCAACCCCGCAGAGCCCGGACGGAGACGCCATGGTGGAGAAGGGCTCGGACCACTCCTCGGACAAGTCCCCGTCCACGCCGGAGCAGGGCGTGCAGCGCAGCTGCTCCTCGCAGTCCGGCAGGAGCAGCGGCAAGAACTCCAAGGTGAGCGCTGCCCCTGCCGGCTCGCTGCTCCTCCCTGATGCGGGCCAGGTGGTGGAGGGACGGGAGCCCCAGCCCGTTCTGGAGGGACCGATGTGATCGACTGGCCTAGTGTCCCAGAGACAGTGTTTGCCCAGTGAGGAGGGTGGGCGGGCATGGGAGACCCTCCTTCAATGTTACCATCTCAGCTGAGCGCTCAGAGGGCCCGGGTGCTGGTAAATGAGCCCGTGATGGCTGTTGCTCTCCTTAGGGGCCAGGGAGCCTCCTATACCTTGAGATTTGGAGGAGGGATGATGCTCCAGGGGTCAGGAGGGGTCATCTGTTTGGCTCCTTTATCTTTTTCATGTTTGGGGCAAAAGGGAACCTTATTTGGAATGACTAGCACCAGGAAGAGGGTCCTCAGGACGATGCAGAAGGCTGGTTTTAAGCTCCGTCCTGGCCCTCACCTTTTTCCCTTGGTGATACCCACCTGGTACTCATCTGCCCAGGAAGAGGGTGACAGGGCCTCTGCAGCCCTCCCAGGTGCGCCAGCACTGCCACCTGGGCACCGGCCTTTGTCCAAGGATGGGTATGAAAGAAACCCAGGGCCTGGGCTGCTGACGGTGTGGGGAGTTTCTTCCCCTCCTTTTCCGGGAAGCAGGAGCCGGTTATGTCTAGATGCCCCTTCACCCTGGGCTGGGGTGGGGGGCCCGGGAGGATGGGAACTGGCATCCCACGTGAATTTGTCTTTTGATTTCCTGTTCTTCCTCTTCTTCCCCCCCATTTCCCACACCCCTTCTTTGCATGCATGGTCTTAGTCTCACAAGCGCCTCTCAAAAGTAAGCCATCTTTGTCTCTGTCCGTGGTCTCCCCCTGATGTCACCTGTCCACAGGGCTCCGCACCCTCCCTCTGTCGCTGCCCATTCCAGCCCCTGTCTTGCTTGTCCCTTTCCCAGAAGGCCGGCCCCACTACCCTTGGCAGGCTGGCTTGAAGTTACCGGGGACCACTGCACCTGAAGTCTGACAACAGACCCGTGCCCCCCCCGCCAATGTCTCTGCCTTCTCCAAGCAGTGCCTGGGGCTGGGGCCTGTTCCCTCCTTACATGGTGCTAGCTAGAAGCAGAGTCCGGCCAGGCTCCATTCGTTTGGGGAAGGGAGGCTCTATCCAGTTGGGCATCAGTACCGACACCCCTTGGAGCTGCTGTGGTGGGTGATTCCTGATTCCCTGAACGAGTCAACTGAGGGTCATGAATTCCCATAGGTGAGCTCCATGGAGCAGCAGAATGACCTCAGGGTCCACCTGGCACCCTCCAGCCCTCCGCCTGCCCACTGAGAGCGGCTCAGCCCGAGCACCCCGTAGCCCATCCACCCATCCCCTGGCTCTGGGCCCCTCACATGCTTAGGATGGTGGAGAATGAGGAAAGGGGACTTTTCTCCCCGATGGGCATGGTGCCAGCACCTGGGGGCTGGTGGGGGTTGGCCGCAGCCCCTGTTGGGCTCTGCAGCACTGTGGCCGGGTCAGGGAGGCAGCACCAGAGGCCCCAGGATTTCAGAGGCCTGTGGAGACCTCGGGGAGAGGAGGGTGGGCAGGTCAGCGTGCAGCACCCAGGGGCAAGGCATGGACAAGGCTGAAGAGAGGAAGCAGAGCGTGACAGTGCTGGCCTTGAGCCTCTGTGAGTGGGAGTGGGGGGTGGGGGACAGCTGCTGTCTTTCCTGAGGAACAAACAAGAGGCGACAGGGCTAACCCTACAGACGGTGACCTGCAGGCTAAAAGGCTAAAAGCACACGTTGGTTCTGAGGATTTCCAATGACTGTTGTTGGCTGTGGACAGGAGAAGAAGAATCTACCTTGAGTGAGGAGCCAGGAGGCATTCTGTGTGTTCGGTGGCTCAGTGGGTGTAGGCGTGTCTGGGGACAGGGTTGTGAGATGACCTCTGTCATCCTCTCTTGAGCCCCTCACACCTCTGGCTGGGGAGAGGGCAGATGTTGCCAACATGGGCATCCTGTTATTCCATCCCTGTGTCTGCCCACAGTCTACACAGGTTTCCATCCGAGAAAGCTCTGAGCTTCCTACCCTTTACCCTGTGCCTAGCGCAGAAGCAGAGCAGTGTTTACTTATGATCATGTCACAGAGTCCCCTTGCAGTCAGCCGGTGGACTGAGGGGAACACCCGGTAATGCGGATCTGTCCTAGGTAGGTCTTTGGAAAAGGAGTGGGAAAACCAGGTCCCCTGCTTCCAGGCGGAACACCGTCTGAGAGGGGAGGTAAGAAACCCCCAGATTACCCACGAGCCAAACCTGACGGTGGAGCTGCGGGGAGGGCACGTGAATTCAGAGGCAGGAGAGCCTGTATGAGTGGAGCGCCTGGGATGTTTCAGGGGCCAGGTGCCTGAGTCGGGCTGGACTCTGAGACTCTGGAGGGCAAAGGGCATTCCGAAGGGACCACGAGCTGAGGTGAATCTTGCCCCTGTCGTGAGGAGCTGCAGAGGGGGGCGAATGCGGGGCTGGGGTTCTCGCTCCCTCTGCAGAGCTTAGGTGAGGCGTGCCTGTCCCCACAGACACAGACCCGAGTCCCCTGGCTTTGGTAGCTGCCTCGCCAGCCGTTCTCTCCCAGTCACGACCATCGCCACCCCGGCTGTGATTCTCCAAATGCTGTTCAATCAGACTGATGTGGGAGAGGGGCCTTTACCCCCCCCAGGCAGAAGTGGGAGCCGCTGGGGTCGGTCTGGGACACGCGTGTGGGACGCACAGACTTCATGGGAATTAGGTTTCTCACAGGTCGGGGCCAGAGCAGAAAGGGAGGAGAAGCTGCAGAGGTGAGGTGAAGGGAAGGGGTGCTTGTGGTGGGGACAGACCCTTCCCCCTTGGTGGACCAGATGTTTCCATGGCAAGGGCTCTGGTAGCTACAGCTGTTGTCACCTCACTGCCAGCCTTCGGCCCACTGGTGGGGGAGGTGACCTCGTAGAGCTCAGGCAGGCTGCAGAGTTCTTGACTCCCCTAGAGACACACCTGGGCACCAGTGTTCCTCTCCCACGTGCTAGCATGTAGGGCTGGACTGGCTCTTCAGTAGCGTCCCTCTCCTGTGGGTCCGTGACTGTTCTGCTGAGCTGACCTTGTGCCTCCCTGACCTGAGCTGTGGCCCAGAGGCCTCGGCTTATTTCCACTTCCCAGGACCCCTTGAGTTCTGGCCATGCCGCCTCGCGCTCTGCAGTGCCGGCGCAGGGCCACTAGAGGGAGCCAGGGGCCGGTCCCTGCTCCCACCAGCTTCCGGCGCAGGTTGGCCACGGGGGAGGTGCCCAGGAGCCTGCAAACTCCAGGTGCGGGTGCGCTGTCACCACGCTCTGTCTTTGGGCTCCTTTCCCCCCGTTTTTCATTCCTAAATTTTGTGGTTTTCTTTTCAGTATGACAGACTTAACCTGATTAAAGTAAGAAGTTGTTTTTTCTCCTAACTTCTGTTAGATGTAGAGCTCTTCTGGTACCTGCTTTTGCCCCCTCAGCCCCCACCTTGCACCGGGAGATGTTTTTAAGGAACCGAGGTCTGTTTCCAGGGCCCTGCATTCCCTTAGGCGCTTGTTCTCCGGGCTGTCCTGGGGGCCACGGCAGTGTGCTCGCTCAGCACCCCCCAGCCATGTCTTTGCGTGCTTTTCCTCTTCTCCTTTAGCCAAATCCTACGTAACTGGTCAGAAAAGCCCTCATCCCACCCCCTAGTTCTAGTCTTTCCATGCCTCTGGCCCAAAGAGGGGCATTTCGGTGACCCCACCGGGTGGGCAGCCTCCCTCCTGCCCGGACGACCCTGCTCTCCCCCTCAGAGGCCCACAGCCCCTCTGGCTCCCTGCCCCACGCGCTGAGCCCACCCTGTCAGGACTCAGTCCTGGGAGAGCAGAGCCTGAGGATCACAGCTGTCCAGGAGGCAGGGCAGAGTGTGGGGCCAGTGCCCACAGGGGGCATTCTCAGGACGGCCACGGATTAGGCTGCAGGCTGGCTGCCCAGTTTTCCCAGCGGCGCCCTCAGTGGGTGTAGGTAAGAAGCTGCCCAGAAGTAGCTGCTTAGGGGCAGTCTCACACTGAGGGACAAGACACATATTCTTGCTCTTGATGGTATAGCTCACATTTTCATACTTGAGAACACACGTTCTTAGCTCCCTTCACAAAAGAGCAGATATTGCACCAAAGGTGAGGCACCGCTGGCTGGAGATGAGGCAGGGCCCCCGGCTGTGCTCTGTCGCGCCGAAGTTCTTGGCTGCACGAAGGTGTAGAAGGGACATGCATTTGTGTGGCAGTCAGGGACAGAGCATGCACTTCTGCTGGTAGCGAGGAGGAGGGAGGACATGTACAGCAGTGGGCAGTGAGCCCTTCCTCCCAGGAAGGGTTTTACAGGAAGGCCACAATGGGGCGAGGACTGGGGGCGGGTGACAGGGCGTCTCTGCTGTGAGGCAGGTGTGTGGTGACGAGGCTCTGGTTTGATGAACTGCAGGCAGATGTTGGGCAGGGGGCCGGCAGCCCCCAGAGCCCGCCTACCCTCTGCTGGGAAAAGTTTTAATGCACATCTGCAGAGCCTCGTGCCCAGGAATTCAAAGTCAGGGCCCAGGAATTCAATGTCCCAGTGCTGAATTCCTCCAGGCTCGTGTTCTATTCCAGATCCATGCGGCAGTGAGTCCCTCAGTTTACATAGCTGGTTTCGGATGCTTGGATTTGGCCCCTTTGCCTACTGAGGCCTCTGGATTGGAGGAGGAGACGAGGCTGTGGGGGGAGTATGTGACGGGGGGAGTATGTGACTTCCAGATGGGCTATGGTGACAGCCTTTGTCTGGGAATGACCTTGGAGAGCATCCTGCAGAAGGGCTGAGGGCCTGCCTGCCATCTGCCCCTCTGACTACATTCTGGCCACTGAGATCAGGTGTGAGGTTAAAAGAAGCCCAGTCAGAGCCGGCAGACCCCTGCCCCTCTGTCCACACGTTCCCTCCCAGGGGAGGCTGAGTCTGCAGAGTTCTGGTGGAGTGGAGAGCTAGTGACTGGGAGGTCGCAGGCCCTCCCCACAGGCATCCTCACCTGCGCTGCACCCTAGACACGCCCTCTTCTTCCCTCAGGAGTCGGTCCCTAGGACCCCGTGGCGGGTCAAGGCTGTTAATGTGCCCAGGACCCGCACCTCTGCGGAGTCCAGATGTTGACCTGCAGGCGGTCTCCTCTCCCTAGTGATTCTCCACCTGAATCACACCTTGGCGAGCTTTTTAAAACTGGAAATGCTCCGGCCCCATCTAACCCGATGGGTCAGCGCCTCAGAGGAGGAGGCTAGACAAGGGCCTGCATGGATGCGTGTCTCACCTGCCTGTCTTCCCGGTGGGGTGTACGTGAGGACCCCGGCCATCGAGTCAGAGACCACGCATAGCCGTAGCCCTTCCTCCTCGTCCCCAAAACGCTGCCAGTCACCGTGAACTGGAGTCGCTTTGCCCAGGGCTGGGCATGCAGAGCTCTGAGTTCCGGAGCTGGGGGGAGTCTGGGCTTGTAGGCATGGCCCGCAGGGTAGGGGCAGCTGTGCGCTCTGGCCTCCTGCCAGCGCCGAGCCCGCCGCCCCTGCCCTCGTCACTGAGGCCGCCGGGGGTAGAGCAGGAGTGGGGACGGCTCATGGGCTCCCCGCAGCACAGGTAGAAGTTTCCGGGCTGCCCCTTTCCTTCCCTCCCCCCACAGCTCCTGCCCTGCCCTCCCAGAGGGGCTGAGCCAGGCGGCAGGAACGCGGCTTGGTCTCCATCCGCACTTTGCTTCTGGTCAGGGCCGTGGGGGCTGGGTGTTGGATGCCTGCGCGCATCCCTTCCCCCATCAGAACTTCGTGATGGGGCTCCGACTCCCGAGCTCTAGCTGGTGCTGCCCCCGCCTGTCCCCAGCGGCACAGCCCCCAGCATGGACTGCTCCCGGGCTTCCTTCTGGAGCTGTCTCGAGAAGCCTCCCCCTAAGGGCCCCCCCGCAGCCCAGCCGCAGGGGAGCGCTCAGCTGCACTTGGGCTCCGCTGCGCGCCCGCCCTCTGCTTCTGTGTAGCCCGCCCGCTGGAGCCAGGACTGGCCTGCTGTGCGCCACCTCTTCCCTGACTAACCGTGCCTTCTCTTTCATTTTGTCCTTTCAGAAAAGCCAGAGCTGGTATAACGTAAGTATCCGCTTCTCTTCTTGTACGTGTGGGGCGGGGGACGTGGCGTGGTTGGGGAATGGACACTGTAGAGTGCCCTGGGGTGGCCTGTGGTCTGCAGCAAGCGGAGGGGCCTAGAAGGGTGGGCTTTTTCCCGGACCAGCCCCTCCATCCAAAGCCGAGGCGGTGGTGGTCTCCTGGAGGAGACAGACTGCTGGGGAGGGAGGCTTTGACCAGGGAGACCAAGGGGAGTGGTGCCCCTTGTCCTTCCCTGGGCTCCTGGGCAAGGCTCCTCTGGGCTTCTTGGGGGAGACCAGTTGGAAGACCGCATGGAGTTCTGGGACTGAGGCAGCCCCAGGGGTCTAGAACACTCCCCCCCAGTGTGGAGAGACTGTTGCATGTAATGGAGTTTGACCCCCTCCCGCTGCAAGTCCTACCTCAAGCCCCAAGGGCCGGCCCCTTCTGGGATCTGTGGTGAAGGTGTAACCTGGCAGTGGGCGGCTGGTTCAGCCAGCTGCTCGCACCCAGACACCGCACTGGGCGCTGGACGATTGCCACTCCCTGGAAGGCCACTTCCTCCGCGGCCACACACTGGCCGGCAGGGTCTCCGGCGGGTCCCCAGAGGAGCACTGGCTGAGGTCCCTGGGCCTGTCCAGGCGCTGCGCCCTCGGCCGCGGCCATGCTGCCCAGGACTGGCCGTCTGTAGCCACAGCCTGGCTTCAGGTCACGCCCGTCCTTCTCTGAGTCCGCCATTCCCACACTTGATCCTGATTGATCACGTGGGTGCCATCCCTCCAGATCCCTACCCCAAGCTCTGCCTCAGCGGTTACAAGGGCCTGGAGGTGTGGGACACTCTGGGAAGGGGAGGGTGGGGATAGGACGGGGGAGGTTTGGGTTTCATGTAGGGACTTGGGTCAGAACCATTTGTGTGGGGGGAGGAGGTGTTGTCCCACACATCTCAGTGATTCCCACATTTACGTCCGTGAGCCCTGTGGCTTCCAGCCTGCTGCCAGTGGCCTGCGGATCCCTGGGCGGGCTCCATGGTCTGACTGACCTGCCGTGCTCAGTGCTCAGCCCAGCGCAAGCAGGGCAGACATGGGCCGGCTGTGCGATGCGGGGAGGGGCCCGCGGTAGCCTGCCCCAGGGAGAAGGCGGTTCATGGCTTTATCTCCATCCCTGCACGCACCCCGGCCTCACCGGCCCCTGGCCTCCTGGCCTCCCTGCTGCTCAGAGTGCACACCCTGGAGGAGAGCCTCTGTGCAGGAGGAAAGGGGGGAAGCAGGGGAGCCCCCAGAGCTGAGCAGGCCCTGCTGCATCCTCGCCTCCTGGAACCTTCCGCCCTCAGAGCCCTGTTGCAAAGTACTGCCCACCCCACGCCTGTGGCCCCATGGACTGGACACCTCAGACCCAGACTCGCAGGTCCTCGTCCTTGCTGCTCGCTGTCCTCTCTCCTCTTTGTTTTGCTTTTCAATCAGGGTTTTCTCTTTCATCTCACTTTTTCTTTCCTTGAATCCTTCCTACCTTTTTCTCTCTGACTCCCCCTTTCCCCAGCTCTCTTCTGCCTCTCTTCTCTGCATTCCCACCTCCTGGCAGGCTTCTCCTCTCTCTGGCTCTTGCAGGCTTCACTTCCTGCGGTCTTCCTCCTGCCCCACACCCTGGTTGCCTCTCCCTTGGCCCCACACTTGAGATCCGGCACCTGAGCTCAGCAGAGTGACGGCTGGAAATGCAGGCGCCTCTTGGCTGGAAGGGCGGGCTGCCGTCTGAGGGCCCAGAGTCGGGGCCTCGGATGGCAGGCGAGTGCCAGGCAGCAGGGGAGCCAGGCTGGGGACCTGCTTCCTGAGGACTGCGCGCAGGCCTGCGGACACCGGCAGCCCTACTGACTCTGCAACCTCCTCACAGAATTTCCCCGAGTCCCTGTCTGCCAGGCCCTTCCTGCCTCTCCCCTCTGTTGTCAGGTGTCTCTCTGCACCCTCCACCCCTCACTCCGAGTGAATTACAGAAACGTCATTGACCCTGCGTCCGTCTCGGATCACTCAGGCCGAGTGCTCAGGGCACGCTGCTGGGCAGTGTTGAGTGGTCCCTTCTGTCCTCCCCTCTCCTGGACTCCGGCTGTGACACCGGAGGGCCTTCCAGATTCTCAGTGGTACCAGATGTCCCGGGACCGTCCATAAATGTCTTCCTGCTGCTCCCTCTTCCTCTCCTCCCAATTTGGGGTCGCCGGGCATGCGGCTCCTTTGTTGGCTCTCCAGGGCCCGGCGCTGCCCTCTTCCTGGTTCTGCTAAACTCCCACCGTGGACGGCCTGCCCGGCTGGGACAGCGGCAGAACGAGCGGCACAGGGGGAGACAGAACTGGCAGGTGGACATTGGGAGAGAAGCAGAAGCTGAGAGGTGACCAGGGGCCTCCAGCTGACCTGGGCTCCAGATGTCAGGAGCTGTGTCTAGCTCCTCTTTTCTCTTTGTCATGTGTCTTACATCCAAAGTTGTCAGCAGCTGCAACAGTGGGTGGGGCCCCGGAGAGGCCGGCTTCACGTGACACCCGCCCCACTCCGGTTCAAACCCTGCCCTCTTCCTCAAGTCGAGACCCGTGCTCTGGCTCTGGGCTTGTCCACTTCGGGGGGGTCCCACATAGCAAGCCTCACCCCTGTGTGTGCCACGCTGGTACCAGTGTGCCTATCTGTGGGCTGTTGCTACGGCAGGATCACCTGGTTGGATCCGGATGCTCTGACCTGGCTGGTTCTTCAGAGCCACCAGGATCCATGCACAGGGCATGGGGCGCCCCACCCTCCCAGGGTATGCACCCTGGACCCCTGCTCCGGCACTGCGACCTGGACATGTCTCCTCATGTACAAGTGCCCCACCAGGAAGCTTCGGTCCCACCCCTGCTCACTAATGGTTTGTCAGGGCCCTTGCCCTGCCCCGTGGTTCTGTTCCCCTTGGTCTGCTCGGTCCTCCTGCCAGCCTCTGTGTTGCTCAGGTTGGCTGGACTCTGACCTCTGGACCCCAGGGTGGCTGCAGCGGTTGGGCCGCGGGGTCCCCCCGTGCACTGGAAGTCCAGATTCAGGGCTGTGGGAGTCATCAGGAGTGCTGGCCTTGCAGGAACACCTCAGGCCCCTGGACAGCCGGGCCTGCTGTGAGGGGAAGCCCCCGCCCCCTCATCTGTGCTCCTCTGCAGTTTCCTCTTGACTATTTCGCCGCAATGACCAGGCACCTTGGCCGGAAGAGTGGGTCCCCCGAAGGGCAGTGGCTGGACCCCAGGGCCATGTGCACAGGCTGAGGCATGGGGGCCGCCTTTCTCTAGCCAGGGCTCTGCAGGTCGAGAGTGAGGTTTGAAGGTCGCGCTCTCTGCAGCTGCCCCAAGGCCCTCTTGGCCTGATTGCGTCCACCCAGCACGGGACTGCCCAGCTGTGCTCAGCAAGGCCTCGGGAGGCACAGCCCCAGTGCGATGGAGGGGTCCGCAGAAACCGGGCTCTGGCTTCTGCAGGGGTCCCAGGGCAGAGTTGGAGGCGGAGGGGTGCAGACCGTCCCTGAAGGTGGCCCCTGCTTGGTGCAGTGGGCCGTCGCAGAGGTCACCTGGTGCTCAGGTGGCCGAGGTGCTGCCCTCATCTGCCTCCAGGTCTCTCCTGGGGTCAGCTATCTCCATGGCAACCACTAACTGTTTCTCAGACCAGAGGACAGGTGCCCAGACCCCGCAGCTGCCCCACACTTAGAGCCCCTGCTGCCTGGTGCCCCTTTAGGCATCAGAAGCTGGCTTTCTGGTGGTGAGGGGGATAGTGCCCATCCAGGGAAGGCCACACATGTTGGCATAAATAAGACTGAGAACAAAGCTTAGTAGGAATGAAATTTGCATGTTTGGGGGACAGTGAGGTGGGAGAACAGAACAGGGGACTACCAGGGACAACCTTGGTTTCCTGGTGTTATTTTATGGGTGCTGACTCTGCTTCCTCTACCTCTGTTCATCTCCCCTCTCTTATTCACACCCCCTAAACTTTCCACAGGGTGGTCTGTCTCCAGAGGAGACCCAAAGCCACCCACCCCTCTGTCTGTGCCTCACCCACCCGTCTGGCCTCTCCTCTCCTTGCTCACTCACTCCCCACCTGCCCCTCATGTCACATCTGGCTCCTCCCTCCTGCATTTGTTTGGGGGACCAGGGTTTCCATTGAGAGTCTTAATTAGTTTCCTCCTGGAGGAGGCCAGTACTCCACCAAATCCATCTGTCTTTCTCCTGGGCTCCTCCCCACCTTGCTCCCCCCTGCTGTGCCCAGGGAGGGGGTACCACTTGGTCCCAGCTCCCAGTGTTTGCCATAGAGTTAATGTTTAGCTCGGGGCCAATTCCCTGCCTCAGGCTGAGTTGCTGCTGCCCTGCCCCTTGGGCTGGCACACTGCACTCATCCCTCCGCCCGCTTCTCCCCAGAACAGCCCAGCAGCCATCTCCGCTTGGCCTCAGCAGTGTTCAGGCTTCGCGGGGAATCCCGGGAAGGACCAGCCCTGTGGACCTGGGTCTCGGTGTCTGGTGTGGCCGGGACAGAGGTGCGCCCACCCTGGACAACGTGGCTGAGTTCTCCGACTGCTGGGGACGGGGCTGGCACGTGGGCCCAGAGAAGCCCAGATGTGTGGCGTGGAGCACGTTGGCAGGGCCCGTGATTGAGGACTGGGGTCTGTGGCGTGCACGCGCAAGGTGCTGTGTGAACAGCAGCTGTTTTAGAGGCGAAGAAGGAAGGTGCTCACCTGGAGGTGGTTTTGAGCCGCCGACGTCTGAAACCTCCTGCACAGTGCTGTTTGGGCCTTTGTCCTTCCTGGGGAAGCCGGTGCTGTGAGGGAGGGGCCCCTGCACCCAGTGGTGGCTGCAGGCAGAGGATTGCCCAGGGCATATGCATTGAGAGGGGTACAGGGGTTTGGGGAAGGATTCGGACTTTTCTTCTGCTTTCTCCAACACATTTAACTGGGAGACTTCAGGTTTGGGAGTCAGGAATCCACGTTTTCAATGCCTGAGGCCATTTTTTGGCACACTAAAGTCTGAGTGCTGTTCATCCAGTCACCGAGACTCCCAGCACAAAGGCACCCTTCGTCATCCCGTGCAGGCTTGGGACCCTCCTGGCCAGGTGGGCACAGCCAGGGAGGGTGAGGGGGCCCCATTCACTTCCACAGTCTGACCTCTCCTGGGGATCAGTCTTCCCAGCCCTGGCTGCCTGGCCCCTCCCCCCGCCTCTCTCTGGAGCTCCTAGCACCCTCCTCGAGGCTCCCATCCCCCTCACTCCCATCCCCCTCTCTCCCATCCCCCTCCGGGAGCTCTCCCTGCAATGGGCTCTCCTTTGACCTGGGCCACATTCTGTTCTGGGCACTGCTGCTTGGCCCGTGGGTCTGAGCTGCCTGGGATTCTCTTGGCCTTGATCACCTCTGGCTGGAGCTGGAGGCAGGGCAGGTCCCGGGAAGGAAGGAGGCGCTGGGCAGCCCCCCGAGCTGTTGGCCTCAGCTTCTCTGTCCAACTTCCATCCGCACGTCTGCAGTGGGACGAGTTAACCTTCCAGGTCGCCCTTGCTCTCCCACTGGGAATGTAGTAAACGGACAGGTCAGTGAGGCCGGCCTCTCTAAGAAGTCCCTGGCTGTTTGCATCTCAGATTTCGGATTCCAGGGGCACCTTCTCACCCCTCCCCCACTGGGCACCCTGGCCAGCTACTTTCCGTTGCAGGAAACATCTGCTGGGACGCCAGGCCAGGCTGGGGGTTACTGGAGGACGCTGGCCAGTACGTCCCCAGATCCTGTAACTTGAAGCGTGTGTAGGGCTCTGGCCCTGCCCGCCCGCCCTGCCTCCCTCCATCCCTCCTGCCACCAGGGAGTCTAAGGAAAAGTTGTTTGCTGGGGAGCCAAGAGGAGTAGGTCTGGGAGGAAAGGGGTGTGTGCAGGGGAGGGGTGAGAGCAGGCTGTTGCCGCAGCCATTGGGGCTGCTCTGCCTGCGCGGGCAGCGGGCAGCGAGTCGGGTCGCCCAGAGCAGACTGCACATTGAATGGGCTGTGTAATGGGCCGGGCCAGACAGCGCTGGAGGCGGGGCCAGTTCTTTGCCTGGAGCGGCAGACCAGCGCCGAGACACTCTGCTGCCTGAGTAGCTGGCCGGCGCACCTCCACCTCCGGACTGGGCCGTGGGGTCCTCCTCCTCCTGTGCAGTGCCTGCCTACTGCCTGCTGCTCAGAGTCCTCAGCTCGCTCTGCACCCGCTGGCCTCAGCCGGCACCTTGGAGTGGCCGTCCACACAGCCCGGAGGAGGGGCGTCCCGCGTGATCGCCGGGCCACCCTCCGCTCGCAGACCAGACACGCTGTGGGAGCTGAGCCCGTGAAGCCGACCCTGGCCATGGGAGACAGGCCAGCAAGACTGTCCCGAGAGCTGTGCTGACCACGCCCTCCCGCTTGGGGAGTTCTGTGCTGGGAACAGGGCTGTAGGAGAGAAGAGGAGGCAAGTCGGGCCCATAGACCCTCTGCCGAGAAGCCAGAGGTCACTGTCTGCACCCACCCCAGGAGAGTCTGACTGTTGTCGTCCCCAGGGACAGTCGGGAATCAGGGCTCAAGTTGCTGGGCTCCACTGGGAGGTGTGGCCTCGGGAGCCATGGAATCTGTGACGGAGTCTGGGATCCCCTGGAACCCCCTGCTGGAGCAGGGCAGCCCACCTCCACAGTGGCACCCGAGGCAGGTGGAGGCCCCTGCTGACGAGCCCTGTTGCTGGCCTGGATCCGAGGACGTCCCAGCCGTGAGTGAGCCTGTGTGGCAGCTCTGCCCATTCCCACTGGCCTGCGGCGTGAGGGCTCCGGATCCGACAGCCCTCGGCCACAGTGTGTGAGGAGAACAGGCCGTGGCTTTGAGGAGACGGCTTCAGAGCGTGGGCTGGAGGGACAGGGCTGGTCTCTCGTGAGAGAGGAGCTGTGACCGCAGACCGGTCAGTGTGTCTCCCCTCGAGACTCGGGGCAGAGGCTGGCAGCCCGGCAGGATCAGGGCTCTGATTTGCAGGCCTAGGCTAAGGGGCCTGCGCAAGCCAGTCCGTGTGGAACAGGCTGGCCAGAGGCCAGGGCTGGACTGGCCCTTCTCTCCACGGCAGCTTGGTCCCAAGGAGAGGGAGCAGGTGTGGAGATTGTGGCCAGGCGGTCTGTGTCCGCCTCTGCAGATGTCCGGCTCCCACTGGCGAAGAGAAGCAAGGGTGAGCGAGCGAGTGGAACGAAGCTCAGAGACGGCAGGGCCCCGGCTCCAGGGGGCCCGATGCCCAGTTCACCGGAGGGGCTTCGGGCCGCCTGGTAGGCTCCTCCTCGCGTGATGTTGGAACTGTGCCAAAGTACACAGAACATAGAGCTTACCCTCTTACGGACAGATCTGCAGTTCAGTAGTGTTAAGTACGTTCACATTGTACATCATTTCCAAAACTTGTACATCTGGCAAATTAGATCCCTCTGGGTCCCCCTTATGAGACCGGCCCCCCTGAGGGAGCTGAGCAGGGTGACGCAGAACACGGTCTGGAGGCCAGCCTGCTGCCCGGCCCGGCACTGCTGCCCACACCCCTCACTTGTGGAGTCTGAGCTGGGTGCACAGCCGTGGGAGAGGACAGGACGGGTAGTGAGGGTCTCAGGTCCCTCCGCCGTCACGTCAGGGTTGGATTAGATAATCTCCCACCTGCCGTAGAAAGACCCACCTGGGGCATGGGTGGTGAGTGGGCAGCCCACAGTAGGCGGACATTTCACCCCTGAGAGAGTGTGTTCTGATGGGGCGTCTCCGCTCTCTCCGCAGTGGGCTGAGGCTCAGCCTGGGAACCCGGGCAGACGGCCTTGATTCAGTCCACACTCAGTTAGTACCCACGCTCTTTGGACATGTCGCTTCACCTCCTTGTGCCCCAACTTCCTCATGTGTAAATGGGAGCACAGACACCCTGTGGTCAGATGAAATGCTGCAGTGGCCGCCCGTGGCCGGGCGTGGCTGGGGTAACCGCGCATCCCACGTTCGTTCCAGTCCAGCTCCGGAGTTCCCCGCCGTACCCGGAACTTGTGACGGCCAAGCCAGGGTTTTAGCGTGCAGCCCTGTCCTGTGAGGCCGAAGGGCCATTTGGTGACATCAGTGTCCATTTGGAAGTAACAGGGGCCTGAGTCGGGCTGCATTCTGGGGCCTTTTCTAGCACAGAAGTCACTGGACTGGCTGGCTCCCAGACAGTCACCCCCAGGGCCCCGATCCTGGCTCAGATGTCTGGCAGGTGGTGTCTGAAGTTTCAGGCTCCACAACAGCAGTGCTTGGTGGCGGGTGACCAGGCAGCAGCTGAGAACTTTCTCTGCCCGGTCTTCTGGGAAACCTGAGACTGCAGCCATGCCTCCCATGGCCTTTCCTCGGCCTTCCTGGGTGCCCGTTCCCGCCAGCACACGGGCCGTTGGGCCATCAGCGCAGGCAGTCCGTGGTGCTGTGACGTGGCCGGGCTCAGCCTCGGCGTCCTTCTGGGCCATTCCGCGTCGCAGAAAGACAGAAGCTGAGCAGTTCAAAACTGATGCCGCCGTCCCCGCAGCTGTGTGCAGGTGGGTGCCTGTGACAGTGGGTGCAGGACCCGTCCGGCCCGGTCGCCAGGGCAGTGCCTGCAGCGGCGCACCTGGCGGCGGAGCAGAGTGCACACGTCTGTCGTGGTCACAGCCTTGCACGGCGCCCTCACAGCGCTGTGGGGGCCTCTCACCTGCAGGGTACTTTCCTTTCTTACTTTATATTTTTAAGATTGTGAGGCTGGAAAGAGCAGGATTTTTGTGTGTTCAACTGTCTTGTGGTATTTCCAAGGAGGATTTGCTAAGGCAGTTTATGGGTTTGAGTCTGCTCTGAGGCACCCGAAAAGCTAGGTGGGCACAGGGGGTGGTAGGAGGTGAGCACAGGAAGGAATCGCGCGATCTGCCCCCGACCAGCAGGGGGCGGGCGAGACTCCTCTCTGGCCTTAGTTTCCTCATTGACAGTATACGTGTTGGATTAGATAATCTTGTAAAGGATGGTGAGGGAATGAGTCTGGCTGTCTCCGATTGCTTCTAATTATTTTAAATTCTCTACTGTGTGCTTATTCTAGTTTCTAGTGTTGTGGTTGTCTTGTTAATACATTTTTATAAAAGAGCCGTTTCCCCCGAGACATAATTGACGTGCAGTGCTGGGCTAGTCCTGTGTTTTCTGAGGGGTGTGCTGGGCACCCCCATGTTCTGAGTCCTGCTGGGGTGATGGGGAGCCCCCTTGGGCTCTTGCTGCCCTCCAAGGTAGCCCTTCCTGCTGACTGAAGGCACAGCAGCTGAGGGGGCGTGTCCCAGGAGGTGACCCCTCCTTTGTCTTCTTGGGCTGTCATGTGGGCCCTGCTCGTCCATCCCTTTAACTTTTTCTCATTGACGGACACTGGACACAAAGCCCGGCACGGTATCAGATTCTCTCCACAATGACCTTCCCATGCCAAGCTCCCTCAACCTACCCTGGCCTCCAGGGCCTGTGAGCCTCATCTCTCCTTTTAGACCCAAGCAGGTGCTTCTCCTGCACCTCCCCCCAGCCCGCAGACCCGGGGCACCCCTAACCTCGGCGTTGTCTTGCAGGTGCTCCTCCTGCACCTCCCCCAGCCCGCAGACCCGGGGCACCCCTAACCTCAGCCGTATTCTTGCAGGTGCTGAGCCCCACTTACAAGCAGAGGAATGAAGACTTCAGAAAGCTCTTTAAGCAACTCCCAGACACGGAGCGCCTCATCGTCGGTGAGCTGGGTGACAAGGTGGGGGGCCAGGAGGAAGTATGGGAGTTCTGGTATCACTCAGGCTTCCTCTGTCTAGAGAGTCCCAGGTAAGAGCAGTTGCAGTAAGAAGGCTTGTCCGGGAGCAGGGAGCGAGGATTGCAGAGGTCGGGGCTCAGGGCTGAGCACCACGTGGTGGGGGCCTCGAGAGAGCCAACCTGGAAGGAGTCACCCCTGTTACCTCTGCAGGTGGTTCCACAGCGAAGGCAGGAAGCTGTGGGTGGGAGGGGGCAGCCGATGGTTTTATGGGCCTTCCTGCCTCTGAGTTACCTCTGTGCTGTCCCAGCCCTCTCTGCCTGGAGGCAGCAGTAGTGTGTCTCATGTCCTTCCTCTTCCCGGGGATGACATGTAGGGACTCCCTGGGCCGCTGGTTCGAACACACTGGTCAGGGGTCTGCAGGCAGGCTCCCCTGGGGCTGGGTGGGGCCCTGATTTGTAGTGGTTTGAAGGAGGTGCCCCCTGTCTCTGAGCTCCTGTCCCTCATCTTCCCACAGACTACTCATGTGCACTCCAAAGAGACATTCTCCTTCAGGGCCGACTCTACCTCTCGGAAAACTGGATCTGCTTCTACAGCAACATCTTCCGCTGGGAAACTCTGGTAAAGACCCGGCTCGCTCCCGGGGCTGTCCCCTGGCTATGGCTCAGTGCCTGTCCCCCTTCTCCCCTTGGCCGACTCTGTGCTCTGCAGCCCTTGTGTGATTAACAAAAGCACGTGCTCCAGCCTCGAAGGCTCGGTCTTCTCCTTCACGTCTTCCCTCCAGCCCCCTGGTGTGGGAAAGAGTGTGGAGAGCATTTGCCAAAGCAGGTACTTGGCGGGAGTCGCTGCAGACGGCAGCGCAGTAGAGCCAGGGCCTTGACCTTGGAGCCAGACGGGCACACCTTCTGGACTCCGCCGCTGATTAGCTGTGCGGTCTTAGACTCGTCCGTCACGCTTCCTTTGCCTCTCTTTCCTCATCTTGTAAAATGAAATGGGGAAGACCAGCCTTTTATGGCCCCTCCAATGCCACTGTTGTGTTTCTGTAAGTGGCACAGTGACGGACCTCTGCACGTTGACAGACTGTGTGACATGAGGAAGGAAAGACGCCCTTAGGCTCTGGGCAAGGCTTGGTCACCACCTCACTATGTGAAATTAGGGGGCTAAACTGGAGGATTTCCAAAGAGGTGTAGAAGTATGTAGACAGATCTGATCCCTTCTGCCTGAGCTGGTGCTGTGTGAACCTCAGCTGTGTCAATGCCCCTTCTCACTTGTTACCCACTCTCCGTCTTTGGGAACACAGCTGACTGTCCGTTTAAAAGACATCTGCTCCATGACTAAGGAGAAAACAGCTCGCCTCATTCCCAACGCCATCCAAGTTTGCACTGATTCAGAAAAGGTAAGTGGAGGCTAATCTCAGACTTGACCCTGCTCCCCCAAGCCCCAGTCCCCAACTTCTGTATTTCTGCCCTTCAGCTGCATTGCTGGGGCGGCCGCAGGATCGAGGTGAGAGGCAGGAAAGTGAAGGCAGGTTGCAGACCCACCTCCGAGGTGGGCAGGGTGTTTGGCACCTGAGCAGGGCTGAGGAAGGAGCCAGGAAGCCTGAATTTGAGTCCCGAGACTGTAGTCATGTTATGTAACCTCTGAGCCTCGGGTTTTCATGTGTGAAATGGAGCCAGCAAACCTATTTAACAGAGTCTTGAAATGACACCACACATCTGAAAACTCCAAATTGTAAAGCATAATACAAATGTCAGTGTTATTGTCATGTCTCAGCAAAGCTTACCCAGAAGGACGAGGACTCTGGCAGGAAATGGATTGTTCCCATGGGTTTTGGGAAAATGTGGAAAATAGCATTTAGGGCCGAGCAAATACTACGATTGTTGGCTGATGCCTTCAGGGCCTGGGTAACGAGGTTTCTCCGGACACCGGTCGGCAGTGCCCGGCCTTGGGCAGCTTGGCGACCAGAGCTTTGGGGTCAGGTCGTCTTTGGACTGAATTCTGTTTCTGGCACGAATCGTGGTGACAGAGGTCACCTGACTTCACAGCCTGTTTTCCTACGAGGTATTAGCGTTTATGTTTATTTGCCAAGGCTTTCATGGTGTAAACACAGCGACGTGTGTGTCCGCTCCACGAGGAAGGGATCTCCGTCCACGTGTGTGCTGTTGCCCCAAGCGTGTGCACAGGGCTAATGCGCAACTGTGTGCCGAATTATTGCGTGAAGGTCGGGGAGGGGTGTCTTCTCCTTCCCTGGAGGCCAGTTCCCAGCCCCCCCCAGTGCCCGCAGGTGGGCAGAGCACGGTTCTCGCGGAGGCGACGTCTTCACACAGGAAAGGGAGCGCAGGGGAAGGTCCGTGATCACGGGCTGCCTCCGTCGTGTCTGAGGATGAATCGGGCCCTTTGGGAAAGGAAGGAGCAGCCTGTCCTCATTCATTACATCGTCAGTTCTAACTGACAGTGTTTGCCGTGTTTTCTAGCACTTTTTTACTTCATTTGGAGCCCGCGACAGGACGTACATGATGATGTTCCGGCTGTGGCAGAATGCTCTCCTGGAAAAGGTAGGTGCTGCCCAGCTCCTTCCTTCAGCCTGAGGGCGATGCGCGTCCAACTAGAACGTCCCCCCGGCCACGGACCCTCTGGAGGGACTGCTCCTCAGTGCGCATGGCAGCTCCAGCGCAGCGGGTCCCAGGACGCAGGCCTCGGGCCAGGGCTGCTTGCACCGGGATTCGTTCCCGTCAGGTGTGATGATACCCAGGCCGGGAACCCCAATGTGAGCTTTTATACCTACCGATGTGCCTGTGGCGGCCGGGCCGTCACCCACACAGGGCCACACGAGGACGCACCAGAGCAGTGGGGGGCAGGGAGCGTGGGGCGCATGGGGTGAGGCAGGGCAGCAGACTTCGCGTTGGCTGGTTTGGATAATTGAGCAATTATTCAGTAATTTGAATAATTATTTAATGATAGTGACTGCTCCTGTTTTCCTCCATGGTCTCAACTCCTTTTTTATCTCCTTATCCCTACCTCCTCCCCGCCGCCCACCCGAGACACCAAGTGGTCTCTCCCTCCAACCTTAGTTCTTGGAAAGTCTGTCGCCTCTCTTCCAAACCTCTGGGTTTTGGGGAGCTAACTTTTCGTAGGCCAGTGCCTTGGAGGAGGAAAGAAGGACACCAGGGAATGAGAACGGGAACTGGCTCCTGGAGCTGCAGGCAGACTGGTCCTACTTCAGAGTAAAGAAGGAAGAGCCTAGGCAGTCAGGAGAGGGCAGAGGCAGTGACCTCCGGCCTTGCACTGAGTGCGCAGGCTGCCCTGGGCCACCTTTGAGGTCATGCTGCGTCCTCGGATGTGATCCAGCAGGCTTTGCATGGCCCTGTTAGCATGAGGAGATTTCTGCAGTGTCCCTGAGGCTGGCTCAGAGGGTCTCTGCTGCTCATCCCACATCCAAAAGAGAAGCTCTGTGATCACCTCGGTCCCAAGTAACACCAGTGTGCTGCTCACTGCTGGCCTCGTCCACAGGAGCAGAAAGTGGACAGTCCCCATCCTCAAGGGCCAGCTGATCCCCCGTGGACACCTGAACAGGCCAAGCGCCTGGCTTTGATCAAAGCCATCTTCTTGGGCAGAAGACTGTTGTCTTGTTGACATCCCGAGACCCGAGGTCGTCCTGGAGGCCTTGCTCTCTCAGCCCAGCTGGGGAGAGTGGCGTTTGGCTGTTCCCCCGCAGGGGGGACCAGCTTACCTCGGCGCCCCCGTGTGGAGTGGGGTCCCGAGGAAGGAGGGTCAGTCTCTTCTGTGCCCGCAGCCCCTGTGCCCCAAGGAGCTCTGGCACTTCGTCCACCAGTGCTACGGCAGCGAGCTGGGCCTGACCAGCGACGACGAGGACTACGTGCCCCCCGACGACGACTTCAACACGATGGGGTGAGGGCGGAGGCGGCTGCCGAGCCTTTCCAGGCGGGCTGGGGGAGGGAAGGGGCGTGGGGAATGCCAGCTAAGCAAGCCCTGAGGCAGTGGACCAGGAGGTGGCCTCCGGGAGACCCCAGGAGAGGGAGCAGGCCGCAGCCGGTGGACTGGGAACAGTGCAGATAGGAGGCGGCGGGCCAGGGAGGCCCGAGGCAGATTCTGAGGCCTGTGGGCCAGGCGATGATTGGCTTTCACCAGAGTGGGAGGAGAAGCGGTGAGAAGCGGTGGATGGCATCTGACCCAGCGTTTTCACAGGGCCGCTCTGGCTGCTGGGGTGAAAATGGGCGGAAGGGGAGCCCGTACAGACTGGCACGGAGGCGACTGAACACTTTGTGTCATTTAGAGAAGAGGGAGGGTGGTTTGGACCAGGAGGGTAGCAGCAGAAACAGAAAAGAGTGGTTAGCTTCTGCATATGTTCTGAAGGTAGACCCAGAATGTGCTGAAGGGTTTGTGAGGGGTCAGAGAGGAACCAGAGGCAGCTGTAAGGTTTTCGTGGGTTCACTAGCTGAACAGATCGAGCCGCTCCAAACTGAGATGGACGATAAATGACAGCACGCGTTTGGGGGAAGAACAGGAGCTTGGTTTTAGGCAACTTGGGCTTGAGGTGACTGTTATTCAAGTGAGGGTGTCAGGGAGGCGTCCGTGTGTACGCGTGTGCTGTCCACGAGGGACGTGCACGCGGGAGCTCCGCGGACGGCCGTGAGCTGGGCTGAAGCCGCCCCCTGACTGAGAGCAAGCCGGAGGAAGGCCAGAGGCAGGGCCTGGGGCCCAGCAGGAGGGAGAGCACAGGGCGTCGTGGAGAATATTCAGTGAGCTGAGGAAGCCAAGGGAGGGACCCTTGAAGGAGAAGGCGTGTGGCTGTGTCACAGCTGCTGGTAGTTCACACAGGTGGGACTGCGGTGATGCAAGCCTGCCTGAGGTTTGTGGGGGAGAGGAGGGTGCAGGCTGAGAGGCCCCGAGGAACGCAGCGAGGAAGGAGCCCCGCAGGTGCCGTACGTAGGCCCGGCTCAGGGGCGAGTTCTGCACCTCACAGGGCGGGCACGTAACTTCTCTGAACCGCGTGCGACGCCTCACTCGGGCGCGGTGGTACGTGAAGTGTGGGCAGATGTTGGGGCGAGGATGCCTCTCCCGCACCAGAAGCTGCAGCAGCATGTCTCCAGGGCCCTGAGAAGGGCGCCTACCTTGGGCTCGAGCAGGGTTCCCCCTGAGGTGTGCTGTGCCGAGAAGGGGACTAGCTCTGACCAGAATCTGGACAGCACCCCAAAGGGCACTCGCTGCTGGAGTTCTGTCCTTGTCAGCGGCCGTGTTTGACTCACAGGTCAGGTTGGGATGGATGGGATACCAGCGGGGGAAACAGTTTTAAGACAAGTAGTGGTTCTATTTTAGTAGGGATACATCTAAGGAGGGTGCCCAGAAAAGGTGACTTTGGAGCCAGAGATTTCACTGGGGGGCTGGGGTGTAAGGTGGGAAGGAGGTTTTAGGGGAGCAGCAGGGGGTGGGGCAGTTAGAGGAGGATCAGATGCAAAGGAAGGAGGTGGGAAAGCCACAGTTCGGATGGGCAGACAGGTCTGAGCTTTTCAAATAGTTGTGTCCACTGAGGCTCACGCCCTCTCCAGCTACTGCGAGGAGATCCCTGTGGAAGACAACGAGGTGAACGACAGCTCGTCCAAAAGCAGCGTCGAGACCAAGCCGGACGCCAGTCCCCAGCTGCCCAAGAAGTCTGTCACCAACAGCACGCTGACATCCACGGGGAGCAGCGAGGCCCCCGTCTCGGTATGGGCAGCGAGCCCTTGGCTGCCCCCCCTTACCCGGCGCCCAGTGTGTCCTAGCTCAGCTAGGCCTGGGCCCGAGCCCGGGAGAGCATAGGGGAGGTTGGTTCCACTGCAGCCGCTTATTCAAGGAGACGCCTGGGGCAGAGGGTCTCGCTCCCTCCAGCCCTGCAGCCCCAGGATCTCGTGCGGAGTTCTCGGTGTCTGGGCGACGATCTTGTTTGGCTTCCGAGCAGGTGGAAACCATTCAGGCTCACTGTGTGAGCTTTGCTCGTGGTGGGCTGCTCCGGGTCGGCCCCTCTGTGGAGGGCTGTTTGCACCGGCCTCGGTCTGAAGGCAATGTTGTGCACGGACATGACTGCACACTGTCCTCTGTTCACGCATTTCTTCGATAAGGAATAGTTCTGAGTCCCTAGCGCACACACTCGGATCTATGTCCCCACTGGGCTAGACTTTGTAAAAGGGGGTAAAATGTATAAGAAGGACCTCCGTCCTCTGGGACTTGGTTACAGTGTGCCAGAATCTTGATGAAGGAAGAGTGTCCGGGTGCGAGCTGGAGGTGGTAGGATGGGGGGGTTCCCAGAAAGGGAGCCTCATATTACCAGTGGCTTCGCCATCAGTCTACCTGGCCGTAGAATGAGAACGTCATTCATTTCGAGCCGAGGCTCCATTTTCCACCTCTGGGGTTATTTCAACATACAAAGAATTGGATCTATTCCCTTTCAGGGCTAGTGGGAAAATGAATAAAAAATGAGTATGAAGTCTCTGAGCCCTTGGAAAACAAGGTATTAGGAGAGCAGTCTGATGTTGTGGCGCAGTGGGGTGCGGCCCTGCCGGCTCCGGGGCTTGCTGTGCCTTGAGTGGCGGGAGCAGGGCTGGGAAACTCCCGGAGCCAGACCCCAGCCCAGCTCCGCTGTGGAAGTGAGGGCTCCGGAGGCCAGGTCCCGACGATGTCCCTGACGCGTGCTGCTCTGTCCCCACCCCAGTTTGACGGCCTGCCCCTAGGGGAGGAGGTGCTGGAAGGCGACAGGTCCCTAGAGAAGGAGCTGGCCCTCGACAGCGTCATTGGAGAGAAGATGGAGATCATTGCACCTGTGAGCTCCCCTTCACTGGACTTCAATGACAACATGGACATCCCCACTGAGCTCAGCGACTCTTCCGACACCCACGATGAAGGTGGGCATTTGGAAGTGGGTGCAGAGGGGCCCTTCCCCTCGCTGTCTTGCAGGCTAAAAAGATGTCCCTATTTTCAATTCCCAGTCAGGGAACGTGCCTGGTTGTAGGCTCCATCCCTGGTGGCGTGCAGGAGGCCGCCGATGGATGTGTCTCTCTCACTTCGATGTTTCTGCCTCTCTCTCTCTCTCTCTCTCTCTCTCTTCCTTTCTCTTTAAATAGTCAATAAAAACATATTTTTTAAAAAGATACATTTGTTATAAGCATAGATCCTTTGTTCAGATACTTGCAGGAACCTCATCATTCCATGTTTGTCCTTTTTGCTCCACAGAGAATCCTTGCCCTGCTGTCCAGTCTTGTCACTAACTTTGCCCCCTGTTGGCACTGGCTGGCCTGGCAGCTCTGTCCCTGCAGAGGTGCAAGGCCACGTCTGCCTGCCACAGATTGAGCCGGGCAACTGCAGGTGACTGGACGTCACAGGAGCTTGCTCTGGTGGCTCCCGCAGGGGATTTTAGGCCAGGCTAGGAGAGGTCAGGCAGACTTTGGAGACGGCCCTTCTGTACCTCTTAGAGGACAGCTTCTCACTTCCCTCCTGCAGAGGGCCAGCTTCTAGGCCCTCACTCGGGAACATGCTGCCGCTTCCGTTCTAGGGCGAGAAGCCAGATTCTCGGTATTTGTGAATTTAGTGGACGGTTGGCCTCTACTGAGTTGATGGTGGGCTCTGACCTGGCAAGTGCGGACGTTGCTCATTCAGTCTTCTGTGGACAGTTGCACCTTTGGTTGGTTGGCTGGCCCACTGCCATCCAGGATCAGGGCCAGGGTAAATGGCTGCACAGGTTGGGCCCTGCATGATGGCAGGGATGCCGTCGTGTCGGCTGAGAAGGAAAGATCCTCACCATTGCGCCCGCCCTGCAGTCATGGGCGGTGGCCCTGTAGGGTGCTCTGAGGTCCTCCCTGGCCTCTCCGGGTCTCAGAGGTGCCCGAAATGTCAACATCCTGCTTGAGATCGTACAGCGGCCCCTGCAGGTGCAGTAATTGGACTGCAGCTGCGGAGGACTTGGGGGGAGCCTGGGGCTGCAGCAAGTCACCTGTACCCTCAGACACATCCTCCTGTAGCAGACAGAAACTTCAGGAAATTAAAAGTTGTTGAAATATAAGAGAATCGGCTGCTTTGTGGAAGGAGAGGAGACCTAGAGACATGGCCCTGCAGACCAGCCCGGATTCGGAAACTGTGCAAACAGCCCATTGCAGGTGGATCTGTGTCTCTGTAATTGTTTTTAACTTATGGAGCCCAGGTAACTGATCCTCTGGGCTCAGGTAAGCTCAGGAAAGTCGTTCATTTACATTTTAGTGTAAGGTCACCTTAACAAGGGAGGCTCGAAAGAGTAAAAGCAAGTGGCACATTCCCGAGCTCTGGAGAGGCCGAGCGAGCGGAATGGCATCTGCAGAGCATCGTGGCCCTGCCAGTGAAGGAGGGGCTCGGCTCCCACTCCACGGCCTCCCTCAGCCCGGGTGGAGTTTCCACGTCCGCCACACAGTGCTCCGGGGGTTCCCCAGGGCCGCCGCCCCTCACCGGCACCGTCTGTTCCTCGTCCTCCACGCAGGGGAGGTGCAGGCCTTCTATGAAGACCTGAGCGGCCGGCAGTATGTGAATGAAATCTTCAACCTCAGCGTGGACAAGCTGTACGACCTCCTGTTCACCGACTCGCCCTTCCAGCGGGACTTCATGGAGCAGCGGCGCTTCTCAGGTTCGCTCTCCCTGGCTGGCGCCTCCGTCCCTTCCCTCTCTGCCACCTCCACCACCTCCGTCGTTGCTTCCCAAGCACCCCCTTTTCCAGGTCCCCTGAAGGCCCGAGGCACCCCCTCTCTGGTCTGCTCGGGCCAGGGCTCCCTCTGGGCTCGGTGGGTGTGCTGCCCCCCAGGGCCGCAGCTAAGGCTCACCCACGTGGTACCTGCCCCCCGGCTCAGAGAGCGAGGCCTGTGGGGCTCACCAGCCGGTGAAGAGTAGCAGCGACCACTGCCTGGCTGGGCACCTGCTGTGTGCCCAGGACATTCCGTTTTCCCGTTCAGTCCTCAAACCTGCCACTGTGCTCCCCGCCGAACCCACACGGAAATCGGAACTTGGGCTGTTATCACCTGCCCGGGTCGCGCAGCTGAGAGGGGCTGAGCCTAGACTCAAGTCTGGTTCATGCTCGACCCCTCCGCTCCCAGCATCCCTTTGCCCCCGCCCTGCCGCACAGCCTGAGTCTGAGAGGGCATTTGGACGTCAGTGTGCCCTGCTGCTGGGAGGGAGGGCCAGTGAGGGCACGGGTCAGCCTCGGAGGACAGGCCTTGTTCCCAGGGACCCCAGGCCCTCAGCACAGTACCGTCAGTGTTGCCTGACCCCTGTCGGTGGCCCCGGAACAATCGGTCTGCTGCAGCCTCTGGAGAGTCCTGGCAGGGCCACAATGGGCCTCTTTCTGCCTTGCCCCTCCTCCCACCCTCCTCCCTGGCCCTCGGGCCCCCACTGGCTTCCTTCTGGAGGCCGGTCAGCATTCACAGTTAGAAGTTCCCTCGGAGGGGAAATCCGCTGGGGGGCTGCCTCTCTCCCTCCCTCAGTGCGGCTGTCACCACCCTCAGATATCATCTTCCATCCCTGGAAGAAGGAGGAGAATGGAAACCAGAGCCGACTGATCCTTTACACCATCACCCTCACCAACCCTCTGGCTCCCAAAACTGCCACCGTCAGGGAAACACAGGTGAGGCGGCGGGCAGCAGGTGGCGTCGGGGAGGGCTGAGGACAGCTCTGCGAGGTGGGTTCTGGGCGCCGCGCTTATCCCGAGATGCCGCACCTCCCCTGCTGCTGGGCCCTCGCGCGGGAGGTCGGGAAGGGGGTGCTCCTCCCGCCTGGTTTCTGTCCAGGGGTGCCCAGTGGCCCTGTCTCCCCGCAGACCATGTACAAGGCGAGCCAGGAGAGCGAGTGCTACGTGGTGGACGCCGAGGTGCTCACCCACGACGTGCCGTACCACGACTACTTCTACACCATCAACCGCTACACACTCACGCGCGTGGCCCGGAACAAGAGCCGACTCAGGTGCCGCCTCAGGGCCGGGTGGGCTCCTAGGAAGTTTCTGGGAGGAGGTTCCTGAGGTCCTGACGTTTGGGGACATTCATTTGCTCCTGAGGAAGGAGGAGGTTGGGAAGCCGGCCTGCTGACTCACCCTGTCCTCTGCCTTGTTCCGGAAGTCTTCCCGCGCGCCCCGCCCCGCCCCGCCCCGACAGGTGCTCCCGTCAGCGCTCTGTCCCCTCGGCACAGCTGTACAGTGACAGTTTGCTGTGCACACAGCCCCGCGTTTAAAGTGCACCCTTTACAGTGACCGAGGGAGCTGGACTGTCCTCATTCTTCAGATAAAACTAAGGCTCGTCTAAGATAAGTGACTTTGCGGAGAGTCAGACCCCCAGGAAGTGCAGAGACCCAGGTTTAGAAACGCACACCTGGGCTCTTCCACCTGGCCGCCCGAGCGCAGTTTCCACCCATGTCCTTGCTGGGGGGCCTGGCACGCAGGAGCCAGCCCACTCACCGCGTTACTTTTTCTTCAAACACGATTTCATTGCTCTTTTGGGAGAGAGAGAGAGGAACATGGATGTGAGAGAGAAGCATCGATGGGCTGCGTGCTGCACACATCATATTGGGGATCGAGCCGAACCCCGTGCGTGTGCCCTGACCGGGAATGGAACAAGGACCTCTCGGTCCATGGGCGACGTTCAGTCCACTGAGCCACGCCGGCCGGGCCCACTCTCCGCTTTCCACCAGCACTCGGCACAGGTCTGCCCCTGTCAGCGTCCAGAGAACATTCGCACGATCGACTGCGTAATTAGAGTCCTGTTTGCGGGTCGAGTCCTGCCCTGGGCACGGGGGTGAGCATTCCAGGAAAGAAGAAGTTTAGACCCTGAGATTTTAAGAAGCTGCGATCTGGAAAGTCAAACATCCACCAGACACCCCGCCCGTCGGAAAACAATCGTGTTGGATACCTGTACCCCAGACCCGTCCTTCGGGCCGCACGGCCTGGAGCTCCGTGCGTGCGGTTGACGCCGTGGCTGTTCGGAGGAAGGCCACACAGGCCTCGGCGAACCAGGAAGCTGTGAATGCCGCACCTGCCTCTTTCTCACCAACTTCTTCAAAGAATTTGGGGTTTTTTGGTTCCCATGGAGCTCTCAGCATCTGTTTCTCCCGCTCTCTCCCCCGCTCTCTGCTCCTGTCCCCTTCGTTCTCCCCACAGGGTCTGGGGTTTTCACTTCGAGCTTCCTCGGAGGAGCTTCTGAATGGAAGTTCTTTCTGCCCATTTCCCACGGGGATAGCTGGTCCGCCTCAGACGGACCTTCGCAGAGGTGGTTGGTGGGAGAGATGGGGTAGGTAGGGTGAGTGACTCCAGTTACAGGGCGCTCACCGCAGGGGGGAGCTAGCGTCCCAGGAAAGGCATGAGGGCCGGGGAGTCAGCCTGGAACATGGGGAGCACAGACTGGAAGAAAGCATGGACGGACGGAGATGACCCTAAGGAGAGGCGAAGAGCAGACCCGGGGCTGCGAGAGACGGTGTAGAGAGCGGGGGGGCGGGGGCCCCTCAGGAGCCAGGAGCCAGGACCCCGGCGGTGGCTGCTCCTCAAGGTGGAAATGATGAACCCGAGAGCCTGCGGGGACTTGCAGTCTCTGGAGGAGGAGAGAAGGCCCGTGGCTGGCCACTGCTGGGCCTCTCTGGAGCCCCTTGGGGAGGCAGCGTGGCACCCCGAAATGGCCCTGTGCGGAGTCAGAGCCCTGCTTGCCCCCGGTCTGCTCACACTCTGAACCCAGCGACGCTCCTCACCGAGTGAGCAGACCTCCACGGGCGGGCGATGGACGTGAAGGACCTTTGGCCTCGGCAAGGGCCGCAGGGGCGCGGAGCGCTCTGGGCTGACCCCAGCTTGACCTCCGCGGGAAGCGCTGATCCCCTTTCCGGCTTGTCCCTCAGGGTCTCCACGGAGCTGCGCTACAGGAAGCAGCCCTGGGGGCTGGTGAAGACCTTCATCGAGAAGAACTTCTGGAGCGGGCTGGAGGACTACTTCCGCCACCTGGGTGAGCTCCCAGGTGCTGCGGGGTGACCCGTGGGCCCGAGCTGTGCCGCTGTCGCCGTGGGCAGTGGGGGAGGCCCAGACAGTGAAGGGGTTCCACGGGGCCCCTGCGTCGGTCCCAGAAGCGGATACAAAATCGGGCGTGTGTGTGAACATGCGCATTTTCCCAGAGACTATGCCTGCAACTTTTGTGAGGTGATGTCAGGATCTCTGACTCCCCTGCCCCCCAGAAATGAACGTCAGAGTGAGTCACACCGCTGATAAGTGTCATGGAAAGGAAGCCTGTGGATGCATCCATTGGGAAGGTGCCATGCCCTAAATTGTGTACATGAGGATGTAGATTTTAGGAACCTATGTTCCTACACAACTTTAAACAGCCCAGAAGAGGGGTTCAGGCTGGGCTGAGCCCTGCAGTGCTTCCTGAGGCTCACGGGCATCCCCGAGGGGCTCCTGTCCTCCCCATCAGCATCCCAGAGCACAGCATGGAAAACGTTTTCCTTAGAGAGACCTCAGCTAGGAGACAGAGCTGCTTCCGGAAGCCAGTGTGCTGGGGTGGAGGTGTGGACAGGTAGCCTGTGATGTGGCCTTTTTGTCGCTGACAGAGAGCGAGCTGACCAAAGTTGAGAGCACCTACCTGGCTGAGATGCACAGACAGTCTCCCAAAGAGAAGGCCAGCAAGCCCCCCACGGTGCGGAGGAGGAAGCGTCCCCACACCCACCTGCGGGTGCCCCACCTGGAAGAGGTGATGAGCCCCGTCACCACGCCCACTGATGAAGATGTGGGCCACAGAATCAAGCACGTGGCAGGTGTGTGCAGGTGGGACGGCTGGGTGTCTCGGGCGTGGGGCCGCAGCCACAGGCCTGTACAGTGTGCGAGCGTGTTCGTGTATTGACGGTCTGGAGTGTGCACATAGCTCGTGAAATCTAGGGCTCTGGGTGCTCTTCCTGTTTCCAGTTGCCCTTGAAGTTCGTTGGCCCCTGCTGAACCCATGGGTGTGCTTAACTGGATAGCATTGCCTTTGGGTTTCTGTCCGCACACTGCCCAAGCTCCCTACCCCGGGGCAGACTCAGTATGCAGTACCCAGGTTCTTGGGAAATGCACCCGGGAGAAGCGGAGCTCAGAACCCCGAGGTTGCCTCAGAAACCAAAGACCAGGGAGTGCAGGCAGCCCTCTCACTTGTCCTCCCACGGGCCCACAAGGGCCCGACCTACCAGGTGGTAGATTCCCTTGCTATGTGCCCCTGTTCCCTTCCAGCTGCCCACAGCCTCCCGTCTCCCCGCAGCTCTGAGGCCCCAGCAACTAACCGCTCTAGTGTTTCTCAAACTGCGCTCATACCCAGCGTTGCGCAGAGCTGGGGAGCACAGGAGAGGAGGCAGAGCCCAGCAGGAGGGTGCCAGCCTCGTGCGCCCCAGCTCCCACCAGAGCCACCAGTCCTTTTATCCTCCCAGGATTGCTGAGTGGCCCGCATTTGCATGAACCAGCCCTCGGGGTGCCCCTCCAACCCCGTGTGCAGCGTCACACAGGTGACATGCGGAACGCGGGCCCAGTGCACAGCGTCACACAGTGGCATGCGGGACGCGGCCCCGTGCGCAGCGTCACACAGTGGCATGCGGGACGCGGGCCCCGTGCGCAGCGTCACACAGTGGCATGCGGGACGCGGGCCCCGTGCGCAGCGTCACACAGGGGCATGCGGGACGCGGCCCCGTGCGCAGCGTCACACAGTGGCATGCGGGACGCGGCCCCGTGCGCAGCGTCACACAGTGGCATGCGGGACGCGGGCCCCGTGCGCAGCGTCACACAGTGGCATGCGGGACGCGGGCCCCGTGCGCAGCGTCACACAGTGGCATGCGGGACGCGGGCCCCGTGCGCAGCGTCACACAGTGGCATGCGGGACGCGGCCCCGTGCGCAGCGTCACACAGTGGCATGCGGGACGCGGCCCCGTGCGCAGCGTCACACAGTGGCATGCGGGACGCGGCCCCGTGCGCAGCGTCACACAGTGGCATGCGGGACGCGGCCCCGTGCGCAGCGTCACACAGTGGCTTGCGGGACGCGGCCCCGTGCGCAGCGTCACACAGTGGCATGCGGGACGCGGCCCCGTGCGCAGCGTCACACAGTGGCTTGCGGGACGCGGCCCCGTGCGCAGCGTCACACAGTGGCTTGCGGGACGCGGCCCCGTGCGCAGCGTCACACAGTGGCATGCGGGACGCGGGTGCTGCCTCGGGCCCAGCACCTCCCCGTTCCCTCTGCAGCGCAGGTCGCCCTGCCCTGCGTCTGCATGTCCCGGCTGTGAAGCTCTGTCGATTTTCTTTTTTGTTCAGTGACTTCAGTATTCACTTTGCCTGACCCAACCCAGGGCCTCTCCTTTGAGGATCTTACCTTTTACTTTTGTTGCAGTGACAGCATCACGGGCAGTCTGTCATTCCCTGAGGTTCTGTGCGTGACCGACGTCATGTCGGCCACCAGTGGGCGTGAGGGCCGTGATGGTAATGGCCCCTTTATCTTCCCTACAGGCTCCACGCAGACACGGCACATCCCGGAGGACACCTCCAATGGTTTCCACTTGCAGAGCGTGTCCAAGCTGCTGCTGGTGATCAGCTGTGTGTAAGGACCGCAGGCTCTCCGCCCCGCCCCCGCCTTCCCATTGCTGCTGCTGTGGCTCCCGTCTGCTCAGACGTGTGAGCGCCCTCACTGCTCCCGGCTGTGTTCTGTCCTCTCCTCTCTCCAGTTCAGGTGCTCTGCCTGCCCTGCCTTCCTCTTTGCCCCTTCCTGTGCGTTTCCAGCGGTTCCTCTGTGCTAGGCCCCCAGGGTTCAGAAGGAGGTGCACACCCTTTGGACCTCCGGGCCAGTGTGCAACACAGACAGGAAGTGCAGAATTATCTCGCCGTTGCGTTGGTGCTGACAGACACATGCCAGGGCAGCCTAGGGCCAAGCCTTTGTGAAAGGCGTCCGGGTGTCCGTGCTCGTGGGGCACACTGTGGTAGGGTAGCCAAGCAAAATCAGGGAGCAGTCCAGGAAAAGTATATGCTTATTTTCTTGTAAACATTTTATAGTGATTGCCATGATGCTGTAAAACTGTGGGCTCCATAGTTTGCCCAGAAGGGCGCTGGACTAGGGAGAAGGTCCTTTGAAAGCCCGGAAGGCATAAGACAGGCGAAGCCAGCTGACGCGCAGGCCACAGCTGCTCGGACCTCTGAAAGCCGCTGGAGCAGGGAGCAGCTGGGACAGCACCGCAGACAGCTCTCCCGGGGCAGCCCACTGCCCGGCGCCCAGCCCTGCTGGATGGCAGTGTGCTAGGGACTGTGGGGCGCAGTGGGCAGGGGCAGCTCGCCCAGCTCTTCACTGTCTGGTTCAGTCTTGCCTCCGCGAACCCCCACCCGTCACCGAAGCGTTTTCGGAGAGGCAGAAGCGAGGACGCAGCCCTACCCACAGGAAGCCCCTGGTAACAGTGGGGTTTGCATTTGGGCACCTCCCTCTGCGGGCACTGTGAAGTGAACTAGAAAAGGACTGGAGGAGGGAGGCCAGAGGGGCTGGCAGCCAGAGGAGGGACTGGCTGAGAGACCCTTGACCTCTGCTCACATGGGGAAGGAAGACGACTTCCTGATTCCCGTGTCCGTAGATTGTCGTGTCCTTAACAGAAACCTGGAACCTGGCAGGAGTCAGAGAAGAGGCTGTCGGTCTGGGCGTCTCCGAGTTGCCACAGGTCACCCAGCTGGGGCTCAGGGGAGAACTGTGGGCCGAAGTTGCTGATTTAAGTCCAGGCAGCATCCGAGCCGTGGGTGTGACAGGTCATCAGACGTAGAGAGAGCAGAATGGGGCGGACAGACCTGCGGCTCCAGAGGGCGGCTGCATGTTAACCTCCCCTGAGTGTCGGACGGGCCGAGGTGGGTTCCCAGTTGCACCGTGACGTTCTCCTGAGCTAATGCGGCCACTGTAATCATACCTGTGCGCCTTTTCCACATGAACAACTGTAGACCTGTGTTTGCCCTCCCAGTGTGACGAGAAAGTCCATGTCAGTCCTGAACACGGCCAAGGAGCCGAGGTGTTCACACTGAACACAAGGCAGCACAGACCAGGGAAACCCACATTTGGCGTCGTAGCTTTCAAGTTACTCCGCTGTTGTTAAAACCCATTCTCCAGCGTTGGGTTTGGAGATGGAAGACTAACCACGGGTTGGTGCTGTGTTCAGCCTCTTTCTGCATTTTGATGTTATTTAAGTCGAGAAGGCCTGCTGAGCTGAGGAAATCGCATGGTGGTGTTAGTGAACTCTGGGGCTGTTACTTCACAGTCCTCAGGCCTCGTCGGTCAGCGCCAGCAGCCACGGGGGTGGACGGTGAGGGTCAGTTGCCGTGTGTCTGGCAGCCGAGCCAGCCTCTGCCTGCCCGTGACCACCTGTTTTCTGTGTGTAGACCATTCTGAGCCTTCACTCAAACTGCATGAAAGGCGTCCCTTGATCGCCACTGAGCACAGCTGGGCTTGCTAACAGACCCAGAAGCAGCTGCTCAGGTGGTGTGCAGCTCCTCCTGAAAAGGCGGGCACTCGGATGATCCGGTGTGTGCTGACAGGGTGACAGACAGGGCCCCTGACATCCCACCACGTTCAGAAACCCTGGTGGTGCCCTGGGAGCCCTGGAGCACGCCGAGTAGCCTCAGGGATGGGTAGATGCCAGTTGGAAGCAGGTGAGAAATCCGGCACCATGTACACACATTCTCTCTACATGTACTTTGTAAGGTCAAAGGCATAGCCTAAGATTTTCTTGCTTTGGGACCTTTTTCCACCTAAGCGTTTTCTCTTCTCATTCTTCACTTCCACGTGGGTCTGTTCCTCCTCCTGGAGTGAAAACGGCGCCCGCTGTGGAGGCCCTGTGTGCCGGGCGCTGTCCAGACTCCCTCTGTCCGCGTGATGCCCCCGGCGCCGTGGGGCCTTCAGGGAAACTAGCAAACGCGAGCCAGGTGGGCGTGTGAGTGCGAGCCGGGATCTGCAGCCCGTTCTGCGCATCTGTGGGTCCCCGATACCTGGGCTTCATCTTGTGCCAGGACTGTCGTAGAGGGTCTGCAGGCAGTTGCTGAGGCCGGGAGCTCCCCCCTCGGCGCCCCTTCATCCCCACGGGCCCTCCGACCCCTGGGTTGTCCTCCCACCTCCCTCTGGGAACCCTGCGCTGGTCCTGCTGGCCCCGAGGGCCGAGGCCGGTGCCAGGAGGAGACCGCGCTGCAGGGCGGTGCTGCGGCATCGGGGGGCACACGGGCAGAGCTGGGAATCCCCCGAATCTCAGGCTCACCCTTCAGCTGTCTTCAGGTTGGGTTGGTGAAGGTCTCCTTCCTCAGTTTACCACCTGGAAACCCCAAGACTGTTAACTTGCTTCCTCTTGCTGGTCCTCACCGGCCGCGTGTCTGCTCCGTGCTCCTGGCTCACGACTCCTGTGGCTCAGCTGCCGTGCAGCTTCCCCTCCCCCACACCAGTCTGTTTCTAGCCCTCCTGCTCCCACGGGGGGGTGTGTCAGGTACTGGCTCTCTGATGGTTTCTTTTACCCCCTCATCGCCTTTCCTCTCCATCTGAGCCTCTTCCCCCAGGCACTGAGAGTCGGGGAGACTTGCACGTCTCTGCTCTCCAGTGCCTCACCCCACACCTCTCCATGGCTCTCCTGTCCTGCCCTGACCCCTCCAGATTAGAGTGCCTCTCTCTCCCCTTGCTGCACCCCTCTGCTCACTGACTCTCACTGCAGGGCTGCAGGTGAGCCGCTGGTCACGAACCGTGGCCTCGGGCGGGGTGCCCTGGCTTCCCCAGGTTACCTCTCATTGCTGTTGCTTTCCCCATGTCTCTTCCTAGTCTGGTGCTGCTGGTCCTCCTCAACATGATGCTTTTCTACAAACTCTGGATGCTGGAATACACCACCCAGACCCTCACTGCTTGGCAGGGTCTGAGGCTCCAAGAAAGGTAACCCTGGCCTTGGCACCCCCTGCCTCCCCCTTCACTCTACCCAGTACCGTGCCCTCGCCCCTGCCTCCCAGTCCCCTTGGGAACTGCCCCACTGCCCTTGGCCAGGGTATGACCCTTTGTGACGAGTCCATAAGCACTCTCTGAAAGTGCCCATGCGGTTTAGTTTGCTTCTGACTCAGGGCATGGGACCAAGGGCAGGGAGCAGAGGACAAAGCACTCTGATGTGATTCTTTGTCCTTTAGGGGTCTGGGAGCACAGGACAGTCCACTGAGCATAACTCCAGCTGCTGGGGGACCCCTTCTTGCACCCCACAGGTTACCCCAGTCTCAGACAGAGTGGGCCCAGCTCTTAGAGTCCCAACAAAAGTACCACGATACTGAGCTCCAAAAATGGAGAGAGATCATCAAATCCTCGGTGATGCTTCTTGACCAGGTGAGATGCCCTGCTCCCTCTCCGTGTCCGAATCTAGAGACAGAACTCCTTCCTGTGTTCTGGGAAAGATCACCATCTCTGTCACCACCCACCGGACCTCATCCTCCCATCCATTCTTTTCTGAGGCCATCTGTCGTCCTAATGTTAAAGCCATCTTCTAGTGAGACATCGGATGCACAGGTGTATTCTCCCAAGTAACAAAACAACACACTGAATTTGCAACAGGAAAGCTGTAGGTTAAATGGAAGGAGACTTTTTTTTTTTGGCCACCCGTTGCCATCTGACAGGCATTTGAGGAGATGGCCTCCTTTCACAGAGAACGGTCTTCCCAGAGCGCCTGCCTTTCTGCTTCTCCGGGATGTGCGCCCCCCACCCCCACCCCCACCCCCGTCCTCTCAGGTCACGCGCACACACGGCCTCTGAGTGGCAGGCTGCTCTGATCGTGGGGGTGGCTGTATAGGTCATTATTTCATGACATCCTCTTCCTAGGACAGTTGCCTGTATTCCTTCTAAAAATTACATGCATCGATCTAAGAAAGGTGTTCTGGGGCAGACTCCGTGATTAGCTTAGTTTCATCAGAAGAGGGAGCGTCTTCCTTCCCCCAGAGGAACTTCACATCTGGGAAAAGCTCCCATGTGGTCGCTGAGACAGCGAAACCTGCCTTCGCTGTGCAAGAGAGAAACGGAGGGTTCGTTCTGTTACACGGACACTCCGTTCCTGGTGTGTGTGGTCGGCCAGACCTGACCTGGAACCCCAGCCTGGCCGCTGAGTCGTCGTGTGACCTCAAGCAAGGGTGTTACAGTTGGTGACCTTCCGTTTCCTCACCTATAAAGTGGAAATTATAATTCTTGATTCTAAAGTTGCTGTGAGGATTTGGTGGTGGTTGGGAGACACTCGTTGATACTAAATTTTATTGTCCCTTCATAGTTTGGTCTTAGTTCTAAGTCAGGGAGAGGGTATTTCAGCACCACTGTCGGGATCTAGTTGATTGTTCAGAGTGTCGTGACTGGCTTTGCAGCGCGTTTAAGGAGGGATTGATTTCTAACCAGGAACAGGCCTGCCATGTCAGGAAGGTCGATAGGACTGAAGTATGTTCAGGACAAGGGGAGACTGGGGTAAGGAGCACAGGACAGTCTTCAGATGTTGAGGTCCAACAGGTCAGACTGCTCATAACCCCCGGAGGACCGGACGAGGACTGGAAGGGGAGGGAAGGGGATGTTCGCGTTACCAGTAGAAACAGACCACTGTGATTCGAGCTCCTCAGCAATAGAAGGGCGACTCCGGAGGGCTGAGATTCATCCCTGACAGTGCTTCAAGCGGTGACAGGGTGATGTTGGGTGAGGAACTAATTAATTCAGTAGTTGGGGGGGGATGGCACTGGATGACCCAGTTCTCTCCCAACTCTAGAATTCTGTTTCAGGGTGGGTCCCCTACGTCGGAGCTTGGACTCAGATTTATGGTGGACAGTGTTAAGCTAGGTGTTTTGTTTCATTACCTTTTAAGGTAACTTACAAAAGAACAGTAATAGACCCCTCATCCCTATTAAGCAGAAGCTATAGAAGAATCAGAGAAGAAAGTGGTCAATTAGGCAGAGAGACCAGAGGTTCTCAAAATGTGTAATCATTTGCTCATGAAATGTAATTGTGTTGGGACAGAGCGGCATACGTAGCAACAGCGTGTAAATGTGTTGTGTGTGACGGGCCATTTCAGGGTTCTGCCCCTGGGACGCTGCCCCATTCAGACTGTACCCCGTAACCTATCAGGTTAAGAAGTTTAGTTCAGGTGAAGTCAGTGCTGTAGATACAAGTAGAAGCCGGCTCAGCTCTGTGCCTGGCCCTGGGTGTGTACGGATGAGAGACAGTGCAGTCCCGACACGGAACAAAGCGGCTGAAGGCCACTGGCCCCAGCTTTCAGTGAGTCGTGCGTGACGGGCCAGGAGAAGAAAGGCCCCGGGAGCCAGAGAAACCTCGGACTTGTTCCGGGCCTTAACGGACGGGTGAGGCGGGGACGGGCGAGCGACAGGCCCAGGCTGGGGACACTGGCAGACCGTGCAGACAGGAGTCCAGTGCAGTCAGGGTTCGTGGAGAACAGTGCAGTGAGTGGAAGACCGAGTGGCAGTCCAGTGCGGCTCTTCAGAGCAAGGGAACACTTGCAGAGAGTTCCCGAAATTCCGTGACACAAAAGCCACACGTCACTGAGACACAGTGCACTGTGCTAGGATCCCCGGTGCTAGGTCGGCTGTTCCCTTCTGCCCGGGACTGTGTCTGGAGCATCCCAGCACGGGGCGGGGCCCTGCTGAAGGCGGGCATGGTGGGCGCTGCCTGGAGAAGCCCACTGAGGCCGCACACCCGGCGGGGTGGGCTCCCTGTCTTGCAGATGAAGGACTCACTCGTCAGTCTTCAGAACGGCATCAGGTCCCGCGACTACACGTCAGGGAGTGACGAGAAGAGGAGCCACGGTCACTGACACGGCAGGAGCAGGACGGCTGCAGGAGCCTGTGCAATACGTGTACATAGACCATATAAATATATAGATATATAAATATATATATACAGAGCATAAATATATATATATTATATACAGATTTTAAACAGAGATCATGCCTATGTACCAGGGAGAAGGAGCTGGACCGCCTCCTGTGCTGGCCAGTGGAGGGGCCGAGGAGGGCAGGGACCACCTCTCAGCACCACCCTCCCCGATTCCCCTCCCCACCCCCTCGTCCCCACCCTTTCCCTTGCTGGCCATTCTTGGCTCTGTGAAGGGAAATGTTGAGCCAAAGTTATGCCTGTGAAGACTCTGGAGTCTTGAAAGAAGTCTCAAGGGGGCATTACTTACGGTGCTTCATTCCCTAATCCCCTTTGATTTGTTTCCAAAATAAAAGGGAATCTTTCCTTCCCTACCCCGCGCTTCCACGGATGCTCTCCTGGGAACAAGGAAGCATCAAGGGCAGCAGCCGGATCCACACGCCACCTGTGAGACCACCCCCTGTATCTGGACCGTAGACTGCGTGCCAGGGGAGGACGGTCGGGCAGCCAGAAGGCCGTCCTGGTGGGCTTGGGCCCTGTGGCTGCAGCTCCTCAGACCTGTGTCCTGAAGGCTTGCTGCCCGATCATCCCCGCCCCTTCCCCTGGCCCGCGTCGGGTGTGGGCCGCTCAGGGCTGGGCACCCGTACCTGCCACCCCCACCGCCCTTCTCTCTGAACTTCTCCCGGGCTGGATCTGGGTGAAGTGTCACTTTCTAGTGCCTAAAGCCCGATTTTTTCTCTGTGCCCCAAGAGCACATTGTTTCTTAGCCAGGGTGAAGCATTTTTTTATCTCGTTAAATCTGTTTTCGTAGTTGTAAGCACGTCAGGTCTGTGGCTCTGGTTCCTTCCCCTTGAGCTGCCGGTTTGATCTCCAGGAGGAGCGAGGGAGCGTAGGACCTTCAGGGCTTGAGAGAGCAAATGCCCGGCAGTGCGGGCTCGTGGGTCTAACCGGAGAATGCCGAGTGGTGACACCGATTCCCAAACACGAACTGGCGACCAGCATCATTGACTCTCAGTGAAAAGCCAGCTGTGGTCAGGGAGACGACTGTTCAGACACCTTGCGACGGAAGAAGACCTAAGCCCTTGGAGGGAGTGGGTTTGCCAAGGTGCATGTGTTTGGGCGTGAAAAAGCCTGATGGAGCCTCTGCCCGAGGGGCCATTCCAAACCCCCGGTTTCCCGGACGGCGGCGTCCGGCAGAGGGAGCAGCCTTCTCTAGTGTCCGCACCAGGGGTCTGATATCACTGAGGAGAGGCCAGAGACTGCAGGTTAGGAACATACGATCTCCAGGGCCTTTTCAGGGTTGGCTCCCCAGGACCCCCTGCACTTCCCTGACTTTGTGGGACCCTTCTGGGCATGCTTATCACCCTTCATACACGAATTACTGTCTGTCCATCTGACAACACAGGAGCCCAGCCAGCTAGCGTGCATGTGCCACCTTAGGAGCGAAGGAGGATGACGAAGGAGGCGGGCACCCGGTCCCGGGCCAGGGCCTCACTGCTCACTCCTGCCCCGACGATGGATGGGAGGCCTGTGCAGGTGGAGGCCACGGGCCTGAGCCCAGTGGGGAGCAGCAGTGCAGACCGTAGACGTCTTCCTGCTGCCATAGCCAGAAGTCAGAATTATTCCCAGGCACTTCTAAGAACAAATGGCTCAATTCTCTCGTTTATTCCACACACACTTATTTATTTAAATCACTCAGTTATTAAGGGTCCCGTGGTGGGACCTTTTATATGACATAAGGGTTCTTTGCAGGGAGCAGAGGGATGTGAGTTCGCCTGCTACACAGTGTGCTTCTACTCCACTTCTCGGGCCCGTTCCAGGCAAGAGCAGGCAGCAGGGAGGGAGGTAGTTCGGTCGAGGAACCCGCTTGATTCCTGGGGATTTGAGCCCGGAGACAGTGTGTGCACATCATGGACTTCTTGCCGGAGCTCTCTGTTCCAACGTTTTCTGATTTTCAAACCAGGAGAAAACCAGCAGCTGCTCACTCCCTCGTTCAGTATCTGTCCAGGAGGAGGGCGCTCACCCTCGCAGATGAGTCTGGGAGAGAAGCGCATAGACCACATTTAACCCACGGCCAGCAGCCTGGCTCGTGGCTGACTGCAAGGGGGCAGCACCGCCACCTCTTACCCTTCTTCCAGCCACTGCTTGTTCTGTTCGCTAAGAACTGGGGCCACGGCGGCCTTCCTGCTAGGAGTCATGTGGCAAAGCATTTGAGAGCTTGCGCTCAGTTTCAAAGACTTTGCAAAGTTTGTAGGGTCTACACTTCCACTCCGGCGCACTGTGGAGGAGTTGACAGGATTTGCCATGGGAAGCCAGTCATGTCTACGACTCTCCTTCCCCTCCACCTCCCTTGGACGGGGGTCATCTGGGCCAGTAAGATCAGCCACTGGAAACTGTTAGAGCACCGGGCTGAGAGCCCGGAGACCCGGCCTGAGTCCCCGCCCTGCCGCTGGACCAGTCACTGCCCCTCTGAGCTTCTGTGTCCTCATTCGCAACAAGGCGGGGTTGGTCTAGATGCCTCCCACGCAGGTTCTAGAGTTCGCGGTGTTTGGGAGGCTACGTCAGAGACTGGCAAGGCTGGGCTTCCTTAGGCGTGGAAGGTTCTCTCCGGGCTGGAGCCTCCCTGCTGTTTCGATGAGCGACAGGGCCGTGTCTGGGTTCCCAGGACGGGAAGGGTAGCCACACTTTCTTTTTTTCTGAGCTAGGAGGGTTAGGGAGACCCAGTGGGATGGGGGCGTCAGTATGGGTGGGGAGGCAGAGAGAGAGATTAGCTGGCTGTGTTGCTCAGTATTAACCTAACATGCGTGTCCTCCTTGACTGGCCTAGTCTTAGTTTGGGAAGGGGCCTTCCTTTGGGTGTTCTCTAAGAGGAGGAAGGGGATAAGGGCAAGAAGTGCACCATCTCGGATGGAGCCTACCTTCCATCCGGGGCTCCGAAGCCTTTCATTGACCACCTCCTTCCTCCTCACTGGAGAGAGTGGAGAGAAGTCCTGCCCGGTCCTAGCACTTCACTTTTGGCTCCACCCAAGCCTCCTTGGGGTTTGGATTAGCGAGGAGCTTTGGGTTGCCTTAGAGCACTGGCAGTGAGCCCCTGGGCTGGCCAGGAGTGGGGAGGACGGAGGGACCCGGAGGAGTGCACTGTTAGCGGGGGTCCTCTCCGTGTCCCTGACCCAGCCCAGGCGCGGACCGTGTCTGACACCTTCCCTGGCAGAGCCTCTAGGCTGCGATCTTGGAGAAAGGACGAGGGGAGGAGTCTCTGGACTGTGTGGTCTCAGAAGGACCCTTCTGTGCGCGCTGCTTTGGTGCTCTGCCGGCAGCAAGCCAGCCCCCCCGCCCCCCGAAGAAATAGCGCTCTTCCCCCGGCCCCCAGTGGCAGGGCTGTGGCCTCCCTTCCTCGTGCTCTGACTCCACCTGCCCGCTCCAGCTCAGAACTCAGAACCTCTCTTCCCAGCCCCTCCTCCCCCACCCCTGTCTCTAGGCTGTGGGACAATCATCCCGTCCACCACGTGGCATCTGACCCTCGTTCCCCAACCTGCGGCCAGCTGGTCCCACTCTCCACCTCTGTGTTTTCTTCCAGAAGATGCACTTGGGGTCCAAGAGGAGTGTTTTTCTGGAAGGCCATCTTTTAATGCCCCCGCTCCCCTGACTGGGAGCAGGATTTGCACACAGTGTAGAGGGCTCCCCTCCCCCTCTGCCCGGCCCTGCCTTCTGTCCTGACGCGGGGTCCTAGCAGGCCTGGGAGCCATGGCTGCCGGAGGAGCAGCTGCCTGTCAAGAGGAGCTGATGCCAGACGACCTCCGGGACACGGAGGTGTAGAGGGCACTGTCGTCTCTGCTCCTTGTTCCTCCTCGCCGCTCTCGACACAGCGACACTGCAGAAGCTCCAGGCCAGACAGCTGGCTGTGTCTGGGGGGCCGGCCGGCCGGGGCGCCCCGTGCGGAGACTGCAGCGGAAGCAGCCATGGTTGCCAGCACCAGTGTGCGGCTCCCTACTTGTCCCTGCCCCACACCCTGGGGCCAGACTGCTCTGCATGGACCCGATCATCTTCCCAAACCCATGGTGCTTCTCCTCCCCCCCCACCCCACGCACCCTAGGTTCCAGGGTAGGCAGGGTTGGCTCAGAGGCTGCCGTGGCCCCTGGACAGTCTGACACAGGTGGGGTGGGGTGAGGACAGGCAGCCGCCCCAGCACTGCACTGGGCCACGTGTGGGAAGGAACACAGGTCGATGACGGTGGAGTTGTCTGGCCACTTGCATTTGGATCTGTGACTACTTTGCCTGGCGCTGTGCGCAGGGTCCGAAAACTTACTGCTATACCTAGAAACACACAAGGCTTCCCAGCCAAATCTCACTGTAAAGTAGCTAGAGCCATGGAAGTACTGTATGAATTAAAAGAAAAAATATTGAACTACAAATAATAAATGGCGTGTGTGTGTTTATTGTTGATTCATTAGTGCTCACTGGCCTTCCCAGGTGTGATCAGGGCGAGTTCTGAAAGCACTTGTGGGTAGGCCCCCTTACAACACATGCGCAGCCACCCCCAACCCCAGGACTCCGTCAGGCGGCCTGATGAAGTGGGTCAGGTGAGAACTTGCGGAATCAGACCTGAGCACAGATTACGTTACCACTGTTACCAGCTGTGTGGCCGTAGGCCCCATTATCATCCAAGTCTTAGTTTTTAGCGATAATGTAAAATGTGTGTGTGTCCCTTTGCATAGTGGCTAGTGCCATACTAAGATCGTTGTTTATGTCATTGTTAATCGGTACTTTTGATGTGCTAGGAGAGGATGGGGGTCTGTCTCCCTTTGGGGCCTTGGCCCTTCCAGCAAGATGGACGTTGGGAGACGGCTTTGCTCTATGGCCTCGTGTCCGTGGGCTGGTGAGGGAGTGTGCCCCCGTCGCCGGGCCTCCTGCCAGCTAGCCCTCTGCCAGCCGGCGGGAAACAGGTTTGATGTTGGGCAGCGAGAACACATGTGACTGGGGGCCTTGGTATCTGGACAGGGAGGAGGGGAGGAGGGGCCGGTTCCCACAGTTACCACGTATTTGATTCTAGACTCCGAGATGTACTCTGAGTTCTGTGAGCACATCTCCACAGGTTGCGAGTTGAGGCATCGGTGCGGGCTGGGAGGTAGGCAGGAGCCCTAGTACCCCGTGCGCACCTCCAGACCAGTTACTAGTAGACAGGGCCAGAGCAGGCAGGTTAGAGACGCTTTATTGACACGAACAGGGCGTTGACTGGAAAACACTACATTACAGCGTTAGGTTGTTGGGAGCTTGGGTGGCCGGGAGCCACGTTCCAGAGTTCAGATAAACGCTGTCTGTGGAAAACCAAGAAAAGCCATACGAAGGTGACAACACGGCAGAGGTACATCGGTTGCAAGACGAAGTTTGCTGATGGTGTCGGACAGTGTTTCACAAACCGCGCACTCGCTCTCGGGTGGTCTTCCCATCACGCACGAGGCCCGGCAGGTGCGGCTCTTGCCAGACGGTGACTCAGGAGAAACGATGGCGTATTGCTGGCTCTGAGACTTCGCTGGCCTGTGGCAGGAGCTGAGTCTGATCTGCAACTCAGCTGTGCTCACCGTGCTACCTACTGGGTCCTACTGTAGATTCAAGGAAGGGGAACCAAAACACGAGTTATCTACCACACAGAGTCTCAGAGATTAGCAAAGTCTTGGATGAGGCTATTTTTCAGACCTAAGACCATGGGGCACACTGAGGGTCTAGATGGGTGCTGGGCGCCATGGGTGCTGAAGTGCGGCATGAACAGATGGTGGAGTAATGGACACACCACGCAGTGTTCAGATCGTCTGCCGTGATTAGACGATTCACGGCACTGGGGGTCTTTCCTCTACGAAGGGCAGCGAGAGGAAGCCTTTCTTTTGGTTTTGGTTTTCCATTTCTGTGTTAACTTGAGAAAGGGGGACCAAGACAGAATATCTGCAATGTGTCTAGCTCTTGCTTCTTCTGCAAAGTAGTTACATATCCTTGCCCTCTGATTTGTGTCAGGTGGGTTCACAAATTTCGAGATGGCTGTATTTTCCTCTTTTCTAGTACTGTTTTTGGAGGGGGGACTCCTGTCTCTTAACCATTCACTGCTCTACATGTATTCCCAGCATAGTCCTGCTTTGAAAAATTCCTTTCTGACCTTTCTAGTTTGGCATCTAAGGAAACCAGAAACTCAGAGAATCGAATCTGGATGTGGAAATGTTTGGGGATAGAAAAACAATAAAGGATGATGCTTTTCAGCAAACTGAAATTACAGGCTGGGGTAAGGGCAGGCCCTGTCAGTGTCTCCACACAGGACTTGGGAGTGATGTACGAGGCTGAGCTAGTGGTCAAGGTCAGTAGGTCAAAGTGTTCAGGGGCCAGATGAGTCGAGCAATCAAGTTCATGGCTGTTAAGCAGTAGGAAAGGGAAAATGAGACCCAGCCTAGTGTGGCCTTTAGTGATTGTGTTGTTGAGCCTAAGTCATGGGAAATGTCCAGCACCAAGGCAACAGATTGGGCTCCTAAACTGGGAATAGCCCTTGAGAACATTTCTAAGCCCTTCACCAAGAGCGGCAAGCAGAGAGAGCCTCCCGCGCGATGCGCATTTAGCCTGGCCCCTGTCAGGGACGTGGCGAGAAGCAGAGTGGACTTGAAGGAGGTTGGTGGTCACAGTACCTTGTGGACTTATGGTCATGATCAAATCTCCCAGGAAGGAGTTTAATTGCAATTCAGGGAAAGTAATGACATGCAATCCAATGCGAGAGGCAAAGCCAGAATGAAACGGACTCTCGGAGCACTTCCAGCAGCTGCCGAGAAACTGTGGCAGAGCCGGGCCGAGGGTGAGGGTGAGGCGCTGAGCCCCGGACAGCGGGAGCAGCAGAGTTAGAGGGGAGTTAGCAAATGCGAGGACAGGAAGCAGCTGCGATCTCGGGACAGAAGTGGGCCAGGAGTCAGAAGACCGGGGTTCCCGCTCTCCGTTTGCCGGCTGTGGGAATTAAGGGTGGGATAAAGCTACAGAGCCTCCGACAGCCTCAGTTTCTTCAGTTACAACCTGAGCATCAATATTTACCTCACAGGGCTGGTGTGGAGAAGAAAGAAGGTAATTGAAATGAAAATGCTTTGTAAACGACATAACTCTAATGAAAGTATTAAGGTTGAGAAGTCAGAAAAACCAAAACAGAGGATTACTTGTAAAGGATAGAAAAACAAAAAACAAAAAAAACAGTAGGTATCATTCAGCTCCATTAAAAACCACTCAGGAAACACCTGAGTTTGTCTTTTTTTTTAAAAAAAAAAAAGGCATTCATGCATATTGCTTGACCACCAGTTAGCGACGGCCCACGGAGCCCAGAGGACAGTGGTGTCGGTGTCGTCTGGGGAGCCTGGCCCTCCACCAGCTGTCCAGCACCACGTGGTGGGAACCTCCGTTATCCACACCTGTTTTCCCAACTATAAAGTGAGAGAAAAATCTCTATGCCGCCCCTATTCCTGAGAGATTATGCGGGAAATTACCAGTGAAAAGGGCCTTAATTTGTTCAAAGTACTTTCTTCAGGGTGTGAACAAGGACTTCTTTTAATCACTTCCCCAGGGATGGAAGAGAAGGAAAAATGAATTTGTCAGGCGAGGCCCAAAGCCAACGGAATGTGATTTCCCCCCATAAGTTCCTCCAGGTCTAAGGGGCTGTCCTTCTTCATCAAGTCCCAGCCACGGTCACTGTATATTTCATGAAGCACCCTCCCCTCTCATCACAGTTGCTGAAGAACATCCCACTGGGACCAGTTACTCAAAGTGAAACATGAGACTTTGACTAAAATGTATCCAGTGTTCATCTGCTCTCCCCAAATCTAGAAACAAGCCCTGGCCAGTGTGGATTCCCAGGTGAAGTATTTGGAAGCTGCCTAGCCCCATTCCTCCCCATCACTTCATTCATCCATGCTTCTCAAATCTTTCCAAGACACATTCTTGCAGGTGTTTCGCATCCACAGATCCTTCCACTAAGGACATTCTTCAAGTCTACTTTATATCTTGCTCGCTGCCTTTTTGACCGATTTGTGGTTACCAGAATCAGAGTTACGCTCAGCCAGGCGATCCACCCCAGCCTGTGCTGGTGAAAGAAGCAAGGGCATCGCCAACACCAATTTCAAAGTCGTTTCAAAACCAAAATCATCTTGGGGAAGTTTAACCTGGGCAGCACCCAAGGGTTACATCCCTCCAGCTTCTCCTCACAAGTCAAGCTGAGCCTTGTCTGAGTCTCAGCTGCCTCCCACAACATGCATGATACTACTTACTGGTCTACAAGAACTTTCAGAGGAAGAACTTAGGAATTTCAGTCCCCATGCCCACAGGAAAACAATGCTTCCCAGCTATCTCAGGTGGTGTGCTTGCCTGGCAGGGTGGGGGTAGGGAGAGTGGTGTGCTCCCTTGGCGGGATAGGGGGAGAGGGGAGGGCATACATACCAATAGGATCATGAACATGTTACGTGACTTTTAAAAGCCTTAGAGACCTAATGGATTCTAGCCCTGGAGAACCACGCTCCAGAGAGCATATAGTCTATGCTCAATGAACTCTCTATTACTGGAGAACCTAGAAAAGCATGCTTTGCTCTGATGCTGTAGTCAAGTGGACCAAGACCTTGGAAAAACTGACTTCAAAAAATTCCACCTCATGACACTCTTTGGCTTTAACTAAACTAGTCACTCCTGCTTCCTTCCATGAACACGTCCATCCACTCGCAGCGGCGGAGAAGGAGCCAGTCCAGACAGTGCCGGGCAGAGGCACGTGCCCCTCCAGCACTTGTCCAGCACTTGGAGCCCAGGGGAGAAGGCCAGTTGCATGGATGCTGCTTCCTTAAAGGCTCGGATGGGATGAGGCTGAGTCTGTGTAGAGATGTTGGCTCCTCAGTTCTGCAAAATTTTATGGTGTGTAGAGGTCTGATGGAGGTAGGAAGTCAGAGGTGAGTTGGATGTGTGATGCATGAATTGAAGGATGAATGAACGGAAGCGTCGTGGCCTCCGGAGAACCCTCCTGATGCTGATGACATCACTGAACCTGGGATTTCCAGCCCCTCAGTGTTCAGGTCACTTATCAATGATAAAACAACTCACCGAGGATTTCCAGCCCAGCCCAGCCCAGCCCAGCCCAGCCCAGCCCAAGACTGACCAAATCCACAATTCTTACAAAGGAGGGAGTGGGGGAATGACTGTGCTTTGTCACCATAGGTAAGGAATTCAAGCTGCCCCAACACTGAGGCTAAAGCAATTCACCTTCTCTAGGGTTCGACATCACACAGAGCTTTGTGATTTGGGAACCAACTTAAAGAAATATCCTGAGGATGGGGACTTGGGTAGGGTAGAAATTAATCTAAGGGGCCAAGTTTAAAGTCACTTGGATAGTGGGTGACTTGTCACTTGTACAAGCTGCCATCCTTACCCGCCCCCCCTTTCCTGTACATCACCTCGAGTCACACCCCTTCTATTCCTCTACGGGCACCACAGAGCTCTCTTTGTTCTCTGAAGGGATGGCAAGGTAGTCAGACCTGTGGGAGGGCAAATGGGGGAAGAGAATCAGTACTTTTGTACCCAGAGGTGGGAACAGGAACAGGGAGCAAGGATGTTACAGAACAGCTCTGCGTTTCCATCTGGCTGTGTCCCAGCAGGAACGGAATGGCTTTCAGGGGACCAGAATAACAGGTGTTTGTGTTTGTTCTACTCCCACCAGCAATCTTCTCATTTGTCCACATTGTTCTCAGGACTTAGTGCTGTTAGATTAAAGTGTTGGCTAAACTGATGGGTCTGAAGTTACATTTTATAGTTGCTTTAATTTTCACTTCCTTGATTACTGGTGAAGTTGGGCATCTTTTTATAAGTTTAGAGCCTATTTTGGTTTCTACTTCTGTAATTTGTTCATTTGCTTTGCTAGTTTTTCTTCTGAGATATTTGTCTTTTGCTCATGGATTTCATATCTTGAGATTATCTTCTTCCAGTCTGTTTGTCTATAAACTTTGCTTATGAATTCTTACAATAAAAAAATAATTTTGACCTACCAGGGTGGGCAAAGGTAGATTTATAGTTGTGAGTATGTGAAAGAAGTATAATTACAGTTATATTATTTATTATTACTATTATTAACCTACTTTTGCCCACCCTTGTATATAGTATAATCACAATTATCATTTTGCCTTTTGCTTTGTGTTTGAAGGAATCCTCTTTATTCCAAGGTAACATAATTATTCTCTTATATGCCCTTAATAGAATTTTCAAGTTAGCATTTTACCTTGTCTTTAAATCCACTCACAATTTTTGATGAGTGTGAGAGATGAAGAATTTATTTTGTTTGTTTGTTTTCTATATGGATAAGGAACTGTCCCCATCCACTTATTGGGCAGCTCATTCTTCCTTCACTGACTGTACTGCCCTGTCAGACTGGTTCTTATAGACATAGCAACATATTCGGGGCTGTTTTGTTCTGCTAGTCCATGTGTATGCCTGCGTCAGTATCACAACCTCTTTACCTGATAGTGCTCCAAGAAATCTTCACATCTGATAGGGAAGATCCTACCAGCGACCTCTCCCAAACTCACTGTTCTTTCTTTGAAATTAGCAAACTATGGCCCATGGGCTAAGGAAGGTTGTTACTTATTTAAAGGGTTGCAAGTAAGGAAACAAGAAGGAACACTGTGCATGAGAGACTCTGTGGACCCGGCAGAGCCTAAAGCATTGACTCTCTGGCTGTCCCTTGGGTGAGCTAATTTTGGTCTTTGGCCCTCCGTGTGACTTTTAAGATAGCTTATCTAGTTCCTTGAACAATCCAATAAATATTTAGATTGAAATTTAATTAAATTTTCTGATTAATTTTGGAGAGAACTGCCATGTTTGTAACAGGTTTTATTCTCCATTTAAGTCTTTTCTTAAGTCTTTCAGTCAAGTTTTGTAATTTTGTCCTTAAAGGTCTTGCACATTCTTATCAGATTTATTTCCAGGTACCAGAGAGTATTTGTTGCTATTATAATTGAAAAAATATGAACATTTAAAATATTTCAATGCTTTTGTAAATTTCAGTGGCTGGGATATAGTGATGTTTGTGTTTTTATTTATATCAACAAGCTTGTGGGATGATCTTACTAGTTCTAACAGTTTGCCAACTCTATATTCCCTTAGATTTCCTTTGCAGGTGATCATAGTGGGTATGAATAATGATAATTTAGTTTGTTTCTTTCCAATTCTTACTCTTTTTTCTTTGTATGTACTTAGTCCACTACCTGTGATATCCAATATGATAGTGAAGAGAAGCAAAGAGAGAGAATATCTTTGACGTTTTTAATACTATACAGTCGTCCCTCACCACTTCACGCTTCAACTTTCGTGGCTTCACTCTATCGTGGTTTTTTCAAATGTATTCATTAAAAAGTTGATCGAGACAGTGAAAATGATACAGCGCGTACTCGGTTATCTGAGTCAATTATACACCCCTGTATTACAATTAAAATTAAAATTACTGTACATATGGACTGTAGGCCTATGTATTCGAGCACCCCAGGGATCCTTCAATGCCAGGTGCAACCTCTAGAGTCTGGAACGGATTAACTGCAGTAAACAAGGGATGACTGTAGTCGCTTCTTCTTCTTCTTTTTTTTTTCTTAAACTTATTTTTATTGTTGAATGTATTACAGATGTTTCTCATTTTTCCCTACTGACCCCCCCCCCACCCCCTTCCCACTCCCACTGCCCTCCTGCCTTTCCCTACACGGTTATCTGTGCCCACTGGTTATGCATATATACATATAAGTACTTTGGTTTATTTCTTTGCTTTGAGGTTTGTCAGTCTAACAACCAATTTGTGCTTCTTAATCCCTTCACCTTTTTCACCAATTCCCCCATGCCCCCTCCCATCTGGCAACCAACAAAATGTTCTCTGTATCTGTGAGAATGTTTCTGTTCTGCTTGTTCATTTTGTTTTTAGATTCAATTGTCAATAGATACGTATTCATTGCCATTTTGTTTGTTCATATATTTTATCTTTTTCTTCAAGAAGACCCTTCAACATTTCATATAATAACGTTTTGGTGGCGATGAACTCCTTTAGCTTTTTCTTGTCTGGGAAACTCTTTATATGGCCATCGATTCTAAATGATAGCTTTGCAGGATAGAGTAATCTTGGTGGTAGGTTCTTGTTTTCCATTACTCTGAATATTTCTTGCCACTCCTTTCTGGCCTGCAAAGTTTGTTCTGAGAAATCAGCTGACAGGCTTATGGGAACTCCCTTGTAGGTAACTAACTGCTTTTCTCTTGCTGCTTTTAAGATTCTCTCTTTGTTTTGAACCTTTTGCATTTTGATGATGATGTGTATTGGTGTGGGCCTCTTGGGGTTCATCTTGTTTGGGACTCTCTGTGCTTCCTGGACTTGTATGTCTGTTTCCTTCACCAGGTTAGGGAAGTTTTCTGCCATTATTGTTACAAATAGGTTTTCGATTTTTTGTTCTCTCTTCTTCTGGCACCCCCAAGATGCGAATGTTGGTACGCTTGATGTTGTCCCAGAGGCTCCTTACACTATCCTCATTTTTTTTTATTCTTTTTTCTTTTTGCTGTTCTGATTGGACATTTTTTGCTTCCTTATATTCCAAATTGATGGTTTGCTTCTTGGCTTTACCTACTCTACTATTGAATCTGTGTAAATTATTCTTTATTTCAGTTAGTGCCTCCTTCATTTCTGACTGGTCCTTTTTTATGCTCTTGAGGCCTTCACTAAGTTAATTTAAGTTCTCCCTAAGTTCATTGAGCATCCTTATAAGCAGTGTTTTGAACTCTGTATCTGTTAAGTTGCTTATCTCCATTTTGCTTAGTTCTTTACCTGGAGTTTTGTTCTGTTCTTTCATTTGAGACCTGTTTCTTTGTCTCCTCATTTTGGCTGCCTCCCTGTGTTTGTTTCTATGTATTACTTAACGAGAGGTATGGGACTAGCTGAGACCAGATGCTGCTTGTTTGAAAGAATTTAGGAAACCCTGAAGCAGGATCCAAGACAGGCCAATCCTATGGTAAAACAACTGGCAACAGCTTGAGTGGGCCTGAAAGTTGTGTGGGCCTGAATGTTGGGTGGGGCGGAGCTTCAGGGAGTCAGCAGGGCAGGGCATTAGTTTGAGCCAGGTTGCTGGAGTCCCAGATATGGCGGCTGTCTGCCGCCCCAGGGAAGGGCTCACCAAAGGAACAAAGGCCTCTGACAGCACATCTGTCCAGGAGAAAGCCCCCTCTCCAGCCCTTGCTCCAATGACAAACAGCTCAGTTTTCCCCTGTATGTCTCTGGCGGCTCCTTGAGCTGCCTCCTCTCCAAGCTTGGAGGGAGTGAGTCTGATAAGTCTGGACCCTTTAGTAGGAGCTGCCTGGGGGCTCCCACAGCCGCAGCCTCCCTCAGCCTCAGTTTCTACTGGTTTTACAGCCAGAAGTGATAGGGATTCTCTTCCTGGCACTGGAACCCTGAGCTTGGCACCTGGTGTGGGACAGGGACCCCTCACTCCTCAGGGAGGACCTTCCCAGCTGAGGTGTCCTCCAGATTTTTATCCACCACACGTGGGTGTGGGACCAGCCTGTCTGCCTCCACCCCTCCTACCAGTGTCGATGTGGCTGCTGCTTTAATTCCATAGTTGTAGGGCTTCCATTCAGCTCCATGTCAGGCGGTTTTGAATGATGATTGTTCTGTAATTTAGTTGCAACTTTGATGTGGTTGTGGGAGGACACGGTACCGCGTTTACCTACCCGCCATCTTGACCGGAAGTCTCTGTAGTCAGTTCTTCTAAAGCTGTGACCACAGATGATATTTGCTGTATCTCAGCAGCTGCCATTTATCAGTTTAAAGGTGCTTGCTGTTTAGGTTTGGGTTTGTACGTGTTTATCCTGCTCAGGATATATTGTGCTTCCTAAATCTGAAGACTCCTGCTTTTCCTTAGCCATGTATCTGAATGTTGTTTCTTCTCCTTGTTCTCCGTTCCATTTTAATGAATTTTCCCATTTTTTCTTCATGTTTCTTTGTGCTATTTTATCTTTTTATATCTTTTTTCTTCATTCTGTGTAATATCTTACATTTATCTTCTGGTTACCAGTATCTGGTGAGCCAATCCATGGGGTCTTAAATTTTATTGACTGTATTTTTTTTTTCTTCTTTTTTTGGCACTTCTTGCCAGACCATGAGGTTGGAGCTTTACTGAGAAAACTCACAAGCAAAACTCATAAAGCTCATGGCCCCCAGGCTGCACAGAGCTCTGGTGTCCATCAGTCCCTGCATTCTCCAGCACTAAACTCTACTGAGCATCACTGCGAGGGGAGAGGTCGGTGACACTGGCCTCTCAATCTCTGGGGAATTTAGGTGTAAATAAATAAATTTTTCAAAGGAGTCCTCTGAGGTAATTCAAGCAAAATAAATGCTTCTTTTTTTAGAGGCTGGGGATTCCAGGCAGCTTAGTAGTTGAGAGCAGATGACGTAGAATAAAGGTTAGAAGAGGCTCTGGAGCTGGGTGTGATTTGGAGCAAAGACAGAAAGGCCAGGTAGGACTGGTTTCATGTGCTAGTGAGTCAGGGCCATCAACCAGTGTCATCCAGAAAAAGCTGTGGCTTTAAGTCCCCTGGAGGGGGCCAGACGGAGCCAGAAGATCCTGATCTGGAGGTGGATGCTCACCAGTTCACAGTGACCTTGTGGATGTCACTTGCCCTCACCTAACTCCAATTTCTTTCTTTCTCTCTTCCTTCTTCCCTCCCCTCCCCTCCCCTCCCCTCCCCTCCCCTCCCCTCCCCTCCCCTCCTCTCCCCACCCCTCCCCTCCCCTCCCCTCCCCTTCCCTTCCCCCTCCCTCCCTCCCTCCCTTCTTCTTTTTTTGCCAGCACTTGATGCTGTCACTATTTATTTTAATTTTATATATTTATTTTTATTCCCATCCCCCCCTTTGGCAACCTATATATCTCTATATCTCTGTATCTATTAGTCTTTTCTGTTTTGTTTCTTCATTTTTAAAATATATTTCACATATAGGTGAAATCATATGGTTTCTGACTTTCTTTGTCTGACTTATTTCACTTAATATACTACCTCTAGGTCCATCCATGTTGTTGCAAATGGCAAGATTTCATTCTTTTTTTATTGCTGAATGATATTCTATTACACATTTGTACATCACACCTTTATCCATCATCTGTTGATGGATATATACACTGCTTCCTGTCTTGGCTATCACTAGTAATGCTGCAATGAACATGGGGTGCATATATCTTTCAGAATCAGTGTTTTTTGTTTGTTTATTTTTATAAATACCCAGAAGTAAAATTGCTGGATTGTATGGCACGTCTAATTTTTAATATTTTAAACAAGTTATTTTATTTTAATGAAAAAAAGTAGTAGTTAGCAATGAAAAGGTTATTTCCCCCAAATAAAATACCATATACCATAAACATAATGGACCTTTTTCCTACACGTGAAAGTAAAGACCTTATAAACCACACGTTATTGGGTTCCAACGTCAGTTAGATGAGAAGCACACCGAACAAAGTGCTCGAGCCCACGTTGGCACCAAGGTCATCGCAGGAATGTGACAGAGAGGACCATCAACTGGGTTCTTGTCACTCGAAAATAACTCTTACCGGAGCATTGCTCTCAGTCTCTCTCTCTTTTTTTTTTTTTTTTTTTTTTAAGAATTTCCAGTGTGGCTGCAATCATTTACAATCCCAACAGTGCATGAGGGTTCCCTTTTCTCCATGTCCTCACCAGCACTTGTTACTTGTTGATTTATTGATAGCTATTCTGACAGGTGTGAGGTGATATCTCACTGTGGTTTTAATGTGCATCTCTCAGATGATTAGTGACATTGAGCATCTTTTCATGTATCTGCATGGCCTCTTTGGAGAAATATCTATCCATGTCCTTTGTTCATTTTTAAAGTGAACTATTTTTTGTTGTTTTTTTTTTTTGGTTAAGTTTATGAGTTAGTTCTTTATTATGTTTTTTAGATGTAAATCCCTTATTGGATGTATCGTTGGCATGTATCGTCTCCCACTCAGCTCTGTGTGGCTCTTTATTATATTTCTAACTCCTTGCTGAAGTTCTCCCTAAGTTCTGCTAGTCACTGTCGAGTTTCTTTGAATTCTTTATCAGGCACGTTACTCATCTCCATTTCCCTAGCGTTCTTTCTGGGAATTGTTCTCCTTCGTTCATTTGAGAGATACAGTATTCTTCCGTCTTTTCATTTTGTTTGACTTTCTCTGTTTGTTTATATGAATTAGACAAAATAGCTCTCTCTCCCAGTCTTGAGAAAGTGGCCTTACAGGGCAAGCGGCCTGTGTGTGGGCTGTAGCTTGTTGGCCGGCTGGTCGGAGCTGCTCGGGTGCGTCCAGCATCCAGGGTCGGGATGCCAGGTGCATGCAATGATGTCTGTTGACCCTACATGCTCCCTGTGGGTGGGGTCAAAAGGAGCTCCCAGGATGTGTCCCAGTGTGCAGTAACCTTGCAGGTAGGCCGGAGCACCTGGATAGAGCCCTCGCCCACCCTATGTGAGGTGGAAGGGATGTACCCAGGGTGCTCCCAGGCAGCTGACCTGGAGAATCCCCACAGTCCCAGCAGAGCTCCATGGCTCCCCAGCCTTCGCCATACAGCCTCCCTCTCGCTTGTTGTCCAGAAGCTGTTCACTCAGCCCTCAGCTGCCTCTCAGGAGTAACTGTTCTGTAAATGTGGGGCACGCTCAGTGTCCCTGGGCTGCCTCCTCCATGCAGTCGTTGGCACCTCTCGACTGTATTTTTTCATTTCCAAGTTTTGAAAATTCTATTTAAATCTGTCTGTTCTTTTTTCTTAGCAACTTACTCTGTTCTTATGCTTTGGGTTCCTTCTTTTCTTGCTTCAACTCTTTTGGGGAAAAAAAACCTTATTTTTTGCTCGGCTGGTGTGTCTCAGTGGATTGAGCACGTGCCATGGACTGAGAGGTCCAGGTTAGATTCCCAGTCAGGACACATGCCTGGGTTTTAGGCTCCATCCCCAGTAGGGGGCGTGCAGGAGGCAGCCGATTGGTGTTTCTCACGTGGATGTTTCTATCTTTCTTTCCCTTTCTCTCTCTAAAATAAAAAATAAAAATAAAAAAGCACACTTAAAAAAACCTTATTTTCTGTATTCTGTTAGGTCCTTCTTGCATCAGAAGCCCCTTGGGTTTAGTCATGCCTGTTTCCTATCTCTTGCTGATGCTGGATTGTTTCCCGCTGGGTCTTTTAGTTTTGGATCAGATGTGAAATCGGGTTCAGCATTGCTTCATCGGGGGAATCCTGGTGAACCGCAGCCAGAGGTGTCCCTTCAGAAAGGTTTCCATTTGCTTCTACATGGTTACCCCTGGCTGGGCACTCATCTTTTTTTATTGAATTTCTCAGCTTTACGGTTCTTGGATCATGTGGGTATACATTTAAATCCCAAACACTGTAAGAGCAGGCTCGTGGTCACTAATTCTCAAGAATCTTTTATTTTTTCTTCTTGGAGTCAGGCCAGGATGGATACGTTTCTTTGGCTATTCTCCGGGCTGGTGGACGGATTGTTTTCTGATGGACCCTTGGTGAGCTCTGGTTCTCTGAGGATCCTGGCTCTCCTGGGGCCTCAGTTCGAGCTGGTTCTTTGCGGCCTCAGTGTAGGCACTGTCTGCCCAGGTGTGGGAACTTCCTGTGCAGCTTCGGCCCTTCCTGTCCAAGCACTACACCCCAAGCACCAGTCCCCAGGAACAGCAGCCACCCCAGCATAGCAGTTGTATCATCCCGGTGTCTGGTCAGTTGTGACTTTTTTTCTTCATTAAGATCACAGATACCGCACGAATTGTGCTTTATCTCAGTGAACATCTCTAAGTGGTAGTAGCTGAGTGTCGTTAGGTTCTTACCTCAGCCACGTTGCTAGCCTGTGACTGAGGGCACTTTAATACCTTGTTTCTCCCCAAATAACAGGCCAGTGTGGTCTCTTAGCCCCGCAGACCCCGTTATTTCTCACAGGCGCTCACTCCTCAGTGACTGAGGCCTTGGCAAAAACGGCCAGGGACAGTCTGACACTGGGGAATGAGAACGGGACATCTCACCGCTCAGGCTCCGGGAGGAACGTGTGCCTGGGAGCTGACACCGCGCCCGGTGGCCGAGGCGCCCGCGGGACACAGCGAACAGCTGTGCCGGGAAGAGGGCGGCCACCGGGAACACACAGGCTCAGGGCCAGCGCAGTCTCTCCCCTCCTGTGAGCCTGTTCCAGCATCTACAAAGTGCTCATGACAGTGCTGGTTCGTGGGACGGTGGTGGCCACCGGTGGGCTGACATTAGGGTTGGAGCACAGGCCAGAGTTAGCAGGCCTGAGTTCGAACCTTGCTTTCCACGGGCACATTCTCCCAGGCCGTCTTCTCACCTGTGAGTGGACGTGTGGCAGCTGACGCCTCAGAGGTTGTGGTGAGGAGAGCAGACGACTAGGTAATTCGCTTAGCATTTCACCTGTGAGGGCACGCGCTCTAACGGTGCTACCTATCATTATTTTGGCATCTTTGGACTTACGCATTTTCTTGGGCTACCTCTTCAGCCTTTGAGACCTTCCTGTAGCAGTATATCATCTCAATGAGCAGCCACAAGGTGAGGAAGACCAGCAGGATGTACATCATGATTTCTGAGACGACAGAGGTGAAGTCCTCCCCAGCTGCGAGAGAGAGAAGCAGGCTCAGAATGTGCACGCCCCCCAAACCCCGAGCTGTCGCTGGGTCAGCCCGTGAGCCCGCTTTTCAGTATGGCTTAAATGAGCACTGGCCTAAAGGAACTCAGGCAGAGGTCAAAGCGATTTAGGGTCCTGACTATCCTGCCCGTTAGCTTTCTTACTGACTCTCACCAGATGTTTGGGGAGGGGGAGGGAGAACGCTGGAATCAAGTGCAAATACATACGAGGTCCCACTTTTGATACTTACTGGTGTGGGAACAGACAACCCCCTTATCTGAGACTCCGTTTCTTAATTTGCGAAGTGATGATAATAATTTATATGATTACATTGCCTACTGTAGTTAAGAATATCTTATGAAATTTAAAGGTCCATACAGATGTCAGTCATATGTCTTAGTTCGACCTGTGTCCTCTGAGCTTAGAGTGAGGAGGGTGGCATCCCTAGGGACAGAGCATCAGAAAACCAGTAGAGGCCGGTGCAGCCAGCCCCCCAGTGTGGTGGGCATGTTCTCTGGGAGGGCCTTCCCAGCTCGTACACCCAAACAGAAACGGGTATTGGAGGACTCCATGGATTAACTACACTGTCCACAAGCACAGGCCCGATGCCACCATTTCCCTGTTTAACACCTTTCCGTGTCCCACGCTGCCCCTGAACAGAGCCCAGTCTCCATGAACGGCTTGCGAGGCCAGCACGATGCAGCCTTGCTCATCGAATTCCCATTCCCTCGGCCGGCAAACGTCTCTTCTCACGCACATTGTGGTCGTTTGGGATCGGTGGACATTTCTTCTTCCTCTTCCCTCTTCCCAGACTGTCTTCACCTCCCACTGCTCCGTGTCTCCCAACATTCCCTCCTGACTCTCCGTCTCCTGATCATTCTTTCAGACTCCGCTGCGGCCCCCCTTCATGAACCCTTCCCCAGCTTCCCACACAATTCCTCGCGTCCGTCTTCGCGTCCTTCTTCATCCATCCATTGTGCGCTTCTCAGGCTGTAATGAGATGCATTTACCTTTCTCCTCTGTGCTTACTGAAAACTTGCCTTATTTATTTCTGAGCCAGCAGCTTGTTGTCCAGTCATAGAATGTTCTAAACACTCCATAAGTATTTGTTGAATGAATGAATGAATAGAAGTATTGATCTTCTTTGTTTCATGACCAATATAAATAATAATTAAAATATAATACATGGCCCCGGCCGGTTTGGCTCAGCGGTTAGAGCGTCGGCCTATGGACCAGGGAGTCCCGGCTTTGATTCCTGCTAAGGGCAACTACCTCGGTTACAGTTTGTCTCCGGCCCCAGTTGGGGTTGTGTGGGTGGCAGCCACTCGATGTGTCTCTCTCACATCAATGTTTCTCTCTCTCCCTTCCTCCCTCTCTCCCTCCTGCTCTATCTGAAGATAAAACAAATACACACACACACACACTCACACTCACACACACACACACGTGTGTGTGTGTGTGTGTGTGTGTAATACATGGCAAATGTCCTGATAAATATTCCTTCCTAGGGGAAGGAAGTTGCAGCCATTTCTCTCCTTGCCAGCTCCCACCAGCTACTTCATTGCTGGTCTTCAGTTCTCATGGAGCCCCAGTCACCTCCAGGCCCTGCTCATTACAAGCACAGCATAGCCAATCACGACCTGTAGCCCTGAGAAGCCACCCCAGGGCTCCCGGGTCATCGGGTTTTCTAACTAGAGCTAGAGCTCGTCGGTGCAGTGCGAGGCACAGGAGGATGCCACGTGTCTTCTCATAGGCTTGCTGTGGCCAGTCGGGGTGGGCTCAGCTTAAAGCAAGTTCTCTTTTCAATGCAGTAGCCCAGAGGGAGCACCACGGGAAGCTGTCCTCAGTGTGTTCAGTCGCCTCCAGGGGAAGGGACCTTCAATTTCTGTCTTAGAGCTAAGAGGTGGGAGCCTAAACCAGGATAAGTCCAGAGAAAGCCAGGAAGTTCCTGGAACCCAGGGATGGAGACGTGGCAAGGTGTGCCACGGCAGGTGTGTGGTGAGGTGTGCCACGGCGGAGTGTGTGGTGAGGTGTGCCACCAGGTGTGTGGCGAGGTGTGCCACGGCGGAGTGTGTGATGAGGTGTGCCACGGCAGGTGTGTGGCGAGGTGTGCCACGGCGGAGTGTGTGGTGAGGTGTGCCACCAGGTGTGTGGCGAGGTGTGCCACGGCGGAGTGTGTAGTGAGGTGTGCCACGGCGGAGTGTGTAGTGAGGTGTGCCACGGCAGGTGTGTGGCAAGGTGTGCCACGGCGGAGTGTGTAGAGAGGTGTGCCACGGCAGGTGTGTGGCAAGGTGTGCCACGGTGGAATGTGTGGTGAGGTGTGCCACCAGGTGTGTGGCGAGGTGTGCCACGGCGGAGTGTGTAGTGAGGTGTGCCACGGCGGAGTGTGTAGTGAGGTGTGCCACGGCAGAGTGTGTGATGAGGTGTGCCACGGCAGGTGTGTGGCGAGGTGTGCCACGGCGGAGTGTGTGGTGAGGTGTGCCACCAGGTGTGTGGCGAGGTGTGCCACGGCGGAGTGTGTAGTGAGGTGTGCCACGGCAGGTGTGTGGTTCTGAGCAATCAGAAAGAGCAGTACGTGTCTGGAGGTGGAAGGAGGGCTGCCAAGGGGTCACAGGGGAAAAGAAAGACAAAGTGGCAGGAATTAGGATGGTGGAAGGACAGGTGCAGGGGGACAGAGCCAGCTGGATTGGCAAAGGGTCTGGACTGTGGTCCGTCTGGTACTAATTAGCTTCGTGTCCCTGGTTAAGCCCCTCACTCTTCCAGACCTCTGTTCTCCCAGCCCCAAAATGAGAGGCGCCAAAGCTGCAGCAGCCATTCAGCTTCCCTACCAGACTGCACCGCAGCCTGTAAGAGTGGTTCACAGAGAAAGCCCCCTGCATGGTTCTCTGCTCGGAACCTGGCGTCCTGAAGGCGCTCTGGCTCTGACAACAAACTTTTCCTTCTATTTTTATTCGATCCTGGCTCTGGTGCCCAGCAGGTGCTGGCTCAGCTTTGCCATACATTCCACTGGCTGCCCAGGGCCTCTGGAGGCAAAAGCCTGACCGCGCGGGAGGTGGAGACAGAGCGGCCCCTTCCTGGCGTCGGGCAGTGCCCAGTTCTGAGCAGGAGAAGGCGCCAGGCTCCCTTCCCCCAGGGAGGACCAGTGTGCGCACGGAGGAGGACACTGGACCTTCTGAACAGAGAGCTCCCAGTGCAAGTGTCTCATCACGTCAGTCGAGTGTCTGAGAGTCCTGCACCTTCAGAATGGACTGTTTCTCCGTCACATTGTCTGACTCTGACGTCTGTCGTTTGCATCCCAGTTTGCTTCATAGATTTATCACAAAACATGACAAGCACACGTGTGGCCTGGAAGCTGGGGCTCCTGGGACCCTTTCCTAGGAGGAGGCCTGTCTTTCGTCGGACCTCTTGTCCTCTCATGCCCACACCTTTGCCTGTTCCCCGAAGTGCACTTGGCGTAGCAGCAATGCTAAGAATGTGCTGGAAGCGGCGCGTCTGAGAAAGGCCGAGTGGAGCGGAGCGTCAGCAGCCTGGCTAAGCGCACAGGGAGGTGCGCACAGCGCACACTGTGAGGGGCCACCGTGCCGAGTCCACGGAGAGCAGCACGCACCGTGCGTGAGGACTGGCGAAGCACTGCCCGGCCTGGCCGGGAGCTAGCTGCGGGAGAGCCGGAGATGTCCAGTCAAAGCTCCAGGGCTCCGTTTCCCCTTCCCCAGGGAGGCTTTGCAGTGAGAGGCGCCACCAGTGGGCGGCTGCTGCTTCCATGATCATTGCTCAGGAGGACAAGGCAAAGCTGCCACACTTTGGTTGGCAGCAGCGGTTCTCTAAGTGATGGCAGCATGGGGAGCCCCTGGCGCTTTGTGAGACAGCAAGTTCTCAGGTTCCACCTACGGAATCAGAGAGGCCGGGTTTTAAGGAGTCCTGCAGGGGGTTTTGAGAATTACTGAAGTTGAGCACTGCTGGTTTGGAGGGACGTCTGGCTCACAGACACGGGGGTGCGTTTCTCTAAGCGCCCTGAGGCAGGGGCCCATCGCAGGCCAGGCAGGAAGGCGTGGCTGATTCTGCAGCTCTGGGCTCCTTGGAGGCTGTCCCCTTTCCCTAGGGATGAGAGTCGGGAACTAGGAAGACATCCTTCTACTGTCATCTCCAGGCTTTTCTGCTCTGAGGAAAGGCGGAGAGCAAGCTGCAGGGCAGTCTGCGGGGGGGAGCCCCCGAAGGGAGACCGATCGGAGATGACATTTTAGAAATCGGCATCCAAAATACACGGGCTGTGCACGCTACGAGAGTCTTGCTTGTGTGGAAACCCACTGTTCTCCCTCCCCGAAGAGCAGGGGACCCTGGAGACCGCGCCCAGCCTCACCCTCCTCGGTGACGCGGAGGGGGATCAGCCGGGTGGTCTTCACAAAGGGGCGGTGTGCCTCGAAGTCAAACTCCCGGGACACGTTGCAGGTATACAGCCCGGAGTCGTTCAGGGTGACGTTTAGCACAGTGATGGACACATCCTGCAGGTCCTTGCTCCCGTTCCACTGCAGGCGTCCTTGGAAGGGGCTGTCCACCTCCTGGTGGCCGTTCCGGTACTCGTAGATCTGCAGGCAGAGAAGCAGAGGTGGGGCCACGAGGGAAGACGGGTGGGAGAGCTGAGATGGGAGAGGGCACCAGAGGAAGGGGCACTGGTACAGGGGCTCCAGAATGGGGGTGGCTGGGGAGTAGCAGAGGAAGGAGTGGGGCAAGCAAAGACAGGGGAAGACGGGCAAAGGCAGCAGGTGTCAGGACAGGGACCCAGCGAGGTAAGAAAGCAAAGGAGGGTGAGTGAAGCAGACAGGAGACTAGGAGGGGCAAACTGAGAGAAACAAAGGGCTGGAAGGAAAGAGAAGAAACAGGAAGGGGAGTGATGTGTCACGGGGCAGCCAGTGAGAGAACAAGGTGCAGAGACCGAGAGAGGACGTTTATTGGTGAGGGAGACACCTGCAAGCCGGCCTCAAACTTGACACTGCGCTGGCCCCACTAAGAGGATGTGCGCGGTCTGGCCAGGCCACAGGACGGGGGGCCAGGATGCTGAATGTCACAGACAGGCAGAGAGCTACCAACTGATATGCACACCTCAGGCTATTTGCTTTGGGTTGAATTATAACTGCAATATGGTCTCTAAAATTTTTGTCTCAAACACTTCCACCTTCTGACACACTTCTTTTTTTCCTGTACAGCTGTGCTACCCATTCTAACTTCCACTTGCCACGTGTGGCTATTTACATTAACGTTTAAATTACTAGAAAATTCTAGTTTAAATTACTAGAAAATTCACTTCCTCGGTTGCACAATCCCCATGGGGCTGGTGGCTAACGAACAGCAGGAACATGGAATGTTTCTGTCTTCACAGCACTTCTGTTAGCATCCTTCTGTATCTGGAGCACAAGTCAAGTTTCCTTTCCTCCCCCTGAGCCTCCTTCTCTTCGGTTTGGGCAGGCCTGGGGGCGGAGGAGGCAGCTGGGACGCGACGGGCCTGAGTCCCATGGCGTCTGTGCATCGGACCAAGGCATCCAGGTTCCTGAGACCTGGCAGTGGTCTCTGTCAGGGTCAACCTGAGCCAAGCACTGGGGGTGGGGGGGTGACTGGACCCACTTGGGGCACCTGATTGGAGCAAACCTACATTGGAATGGTACATACAGGCCAGAGTGAGAAATGAGGTCCACCTTGGGAAAGGCAGAAGAGTAAGTGAAACTCAGCGTCACCTGCTGCTGTTTCCATCAAAAGTCTTGTGGAGGAGAAACTTGCCTCCAGGAACATGAGGTCACACAGTGTGACCTAAGGGGTTTGTAGTCTGTCAGACGTCTGGGTCAAATATAAGCTCTCTCACTAACTTAACATTTTTGAACCCTACTTGCCTCCTTGAGATAGGTATATAATTATTTTCTTTAGCAAACACTTTTAAAGTGTTTTCTATATTCTAGAACGATCCTAAATGCATGAAAATTAAAGCTCATGTCTGGCTGGTGTGGCTCAGTGGTTGAGCATCGACCCATGCACCAAGGAGGTTTGATTCCCAGTCAGGGCACATGCCCATGTTGTGGGCCTTATCCCCAGTGAGGGGCATGCAGGAGGCAGCCTATCGATGTTCTCTCTCGTCGATGTTTCTATCTCTCTCTCTCTTCCATTTTCTCTAAAATCAGTAAAGGAAAAAAAAAATTAAAGCTCATGACTCCTGGTAACAACTCTATGATGTAGCTAGGGTTTATATCCCCATTTTAGAGATGAGTAAACTGAGTCACAGAAAGGTTAAACAATTTGTCAAAGGACATACAAACCTAATAAGTTGTAGAGTCAAGAATCACACCCAGGCAGCCTGCTCCAGAGACAGTGGGCATGTGAATCATGGCCTCCCCAAGGTGGATTTCAATGTTTATGACAACCATTTTGGCTCCGGTACCAGCCAGTCAGAACCAACCTTGGCCACGGCACAGGAGCAGTCTCCCCAGCTCCCTGCTCTGTTGGGCACTGATGCTTTAGTTTCTTGATCACGAGGAGGGTTGGTGGTCCCTAGTGGGAAGGATGCTGGTGGGACCACTCGGGAGGTTTGGCATAGCAAGTGTCCACTGTATGACTATCTAAATGTTTTACCCACGGATGTGGCTGCACTGGGAGAACCAGCTGACTATAGCCTTGGTCATCCCTGAATTCCTATTCCACTGGATTGTGAGTTAAATGAGCTAACCTGTGTCATCTTATAAAATGATGCTTAACTGATGCTTAGTGTTAGGGGTGGAGCCAGTGAGAGAACAAGGTGTCGAGGCCACAACAGCAGTTTCATTAGCCCTGCGGGCATCTGAAAGCCCGGCCTCAAACTGGACGCTCAGCTGCTCCCCACTGGGAAGGCTGGGCCAGGCCACACGAGGGATCCAGGATTCAATGTTTCTACCGATTTAATCCATCTAATAGGGGTGGAGAAGAGTATGTGAAACCACCTGCAGAGTGCCTAGTCAGGTGACTAGCATACAGTAGGCTTAAATACTAGTTATCTCTTTCTCTGCCTTCCGCCACCTGTGACAGGACCGTGGGCAGCTGGCTGAGTGCCCTCCTCCACGAAGGGTGGGGTAAATGGAGGCTATCAGGCTGCATGGAAAGAGACCGTGTTTGCAGACCCTCCTTCCCCACTCTCAGGAGCCAGGCACATGACATGGAGGCCAACGACAGACAGGCCGGAGCAGCAGTCACACATACAAGGAAGTCTTTACCGCCCTCGGGCCTGTAGAACCATTCCACCACCGTGGTGGCCTCCACCTCCTCCCTCTTCATGCAGGAGATGCAGCGCAGCTTCATGGGCTTGCCCTGGACCACCTCCGTCTCCGAGGGCACTTCCACACACACCGGCAGGCAGGCACGGACTGCAGAGAGGCAGGTGGCGGGAGGAAGGGAAGTGTTGGGGAGGGGCCCCAGGACAGGGGCATTGGAGAACAAGGAGGAAGGGGGAAGAGACAGAGAAGAAGCTCATGAGAGAAGTTTGAAAATACCATGTTCATGTATGTGTACCTGTACCTGCGCTCCCCGAGTATGCGTGCTCACAACAGGCAAGGAGGGGGGTCGAGGAGGCATGGATGACCCAGAAGTGACGGAACGCCTCCCTAGAAGCAGTGGGATGAGATGCAGCACACACCTGAGCCCTGCGCTCAAAGACGTATAATCTAGGTGGGAGACAGGGCATCGCACCTCCATCATTGACCAGCCATGCACCCCTTCATCCAGCCAACATCACTGAAGTCTGCTCCATGCCAGGCCGATGGTAGGCTGAGCTACAAAGATGAACCAAACACTAACCATGCCCTAAAGACACTTATACTCTAGCAGGAAACACATACTCCTAAGTATCAGTCAACCAGACCGTGGTGAGTGACATGCTAGTAGCTGCTCTGTTCCCAGAGGAGGGGAAATTGCTCCTGTCTGGACCAGGGAAAGAGAAGGATGGCGACACTTGAGGTGAACAGGTAGACAGGACCCACAACATGAAAACCACTGTGTGTCCTTCACAAGAGGAGAGGTCAAGAGTTCTAAAGCTGTAATTACATCTATAATTACAGACGTAATTATATCCGTGTTTCAAGAAAACTGTGGGTGAGTCTTATGCGTGGTGGTGGATCGAGCAGCAGGGAGGAAAGAGGTGAGCCGACGGCCCACTCGGTCAGTTGGGGGGACACCTTGCCTACCATACGGGGGTGCGGACTTACAGTGCCCACGCTATAGACACTCACAGCCCATGAAAAGAGGCAAGGATATCAGACTGCAAATCAGAACAGGTCAAAAGTGACATGTGGCTGCCGACACGGCAAGAGCCCACGTGGGCCGCAGTCCCAGATGCGTCCTGTGCAGAAGGGGAGAGAGTTCCTCTGCCCTGCTCAGAACAAATGCGGGCCACCAGGGTCCGCTCAGGGTGTCACAGTCTATGAAAAGAAGTGATTCGATGAGTGCCTGCCCAGAGGGGAGTGAGACGGGGGTCTGGGGTCACGGCCTGGTGAGGAAGAAGTGGGAGGACAAGGGATGCGGATCCTGGACACAGAACTCTTTGAAGGCTGGTCTGTGGACGATAAAATAGATTCTGTCCAAAAGTCACAAGAAATTGTCCAGCGGGTGTGGCTCAGTGGTTGAGCATCGACCCATCACCAACAGGTCGCCGGTTTGATTCCGGGTCAGGGCATGTGCCCAGGTTGTGGGCCCAATTCGCAGTGGAGGGCGTGCAGGAGGAGGCCAGTCTTCTCTCAACGATGTTTCTATCTCTCCCTCTCCCTTCCTCTCTCTCTCAAATCAATAAAGAATAAATAAATAAATAAATAAATAAATAAATAAATAAATAAATAAAATATTAAAGAAAAATAAACGTGATTGATTTTAAAACTCTCCAGCAAGCTGGGACCTGTCTTGCGGGTAGTCTGCAGGAGGGTCCCCTATTTCTGCATATGGATTGTCACCTTACTGGGTACATATCTAGGGAGAACTAGTCTGTGATGACTTTGAAGTTTTGATTACAGGCCTGGTTAAAAAAAGAAAGAAAGGAAAGGAAGTTTAGTCTACACACAAGTTTGGGAGTGGATGGAGATGTAGAGAGTGTGCTCATATTTAATGAGATGTGGCAGAGACGTGAGGTCAGTTAGACGGCTTCAGAAACAGAACAGAAAATGTGCAGTCAAAATGACAGAGGCAAGATGAAGATGGTTTGGCAACTGAAGGCCTAGTTTTGATTTACTATTGAACCTCTCTGAGATCCATTTATTTGTCAACAAAAATGCTGAAAATAATATTTATCTAATAGATTTGCCGCCCTGGCCAGTTTGGCTCAGTGGTTGAGCATCAGCCTGCAGACCAGAGAGTCCCAGGTTCGGTTCCTGCTAGGGGCACGTACCACACACAAACACACAAAAAAATAGATTTGCCATGAAAATTCCATGGAATAATTTATACAAGTGTGCCTGCCACTTGTTACTGTTATATTATCCTTCACATATGTGTTCAGTGTTCAGCACACTGTGTGCCAGGCATTGAGAGCACAGCATGGAATGACAGAAACCATCTGCGCTCCCATAGAGCCTGCATGAGAACGGAGAGAAAGAAAGCAAATAAGCAACTTTGAATTGCAATAAGTGCTGTGGGACAAAATAAAACAGAATAGAGGAGACAGGGAGGGCATAAGATCACTGGAGACAGCGCGCTGAGCAGGGGACAGCAAGCAAGCTCTGCAGGAAAGAAACGAGGGAGCGAGCTGCATGACTACCTGTGTGAAGGGTATCAGAGGGAAGAGCAACTCAAGGCCCTCGGCTGGGAGTGTGCTCGTTGACAGCAAAGAGCACAGTGGAATACAAGGAACAAAACAAAACTAGGAGACAAGTTCAGAAAGATACGCATGGGACACTGGAGGGTTCTGAGTGGAAGAATGACATGAGGTCGTTTATACAAAACTGCGTGATGACTGCTGTGTTGAGAATAAACTGAGAGGTGAGGATGCACAAGGGTGGGGGCAAAATTAACAGTCAAGAGGCTGGTGGAGTGATTGGACTGAGGTGCTCAATGGTTTTGCTGGACGAGGTGGTAGTGGGGCTGTTGGGGTTTGAAAGAAATAATTTGCTGGATTCACATCCTTGAATAGGTGAGAGGTGATGTGCTGTAATGATAGTCAGTCTTAAACAGGAGCACAATTAGTTCTTTTATAGTTAGAGGACGAAGGGCAGAATGTATGCAGTCAGCTGGTGAATATGGGATGCTGGACTCTTTCTTGAGTTGCCCCTGAGATGCAATAATCCAAGGTATCTTCAGAGAGCCGGTCCCACTGACTCCCTTCTCGTAGTCAAGTCCTGTTGTGACTCTCCTCACGAGGTCCTGAAGAGTATACTGCAAAGTGGCCTCAAAGTCCTCTCACCCTGTGTGTTTCCCCTTGCACTGACTGGCTGCTCCTTCCACCAAGAGCTAAAGTCTATTTCTCAACCCCATGAGCCTCCAGTACATCACTGCTCTGTTTCTTTGAAATCCCCTAGATATCCAAGAGAAGGCTGCACATGGTGCAGCGCAGGAATGGTGGGTGTTCAACCCATATAGCTGACTGTACGTAATAGACTCCTGGAATAATCTGGATAAATCATTTCACCTTTGTTCTCCTTTTCAATTTCCACAGTAGTAATGAGGAATCTTATGAGAAGGAAGCATATGACATATTAATGGTGATTATATTTAACAAGGAATAGTATCAATTTACTTTGAGGTGGGTAGTAATGTATATTGAACAAATTTCTCTAATACCCCCAACTCTTTCTATTCTTTGGGCATCACTATACTGCTTTCCAGAGCTTGCTCTTGAATGCTTTCCTTTGCACTAAGATAATAAAGGCTTTGATTGGAATGTAAATACTTCCCCCAAAGAATGATAAATGAAGTTACTTGCAGACATTAGTACCCTGTAATGACTTGGTCTATCAGATTAGCCACTCACTTAGCAGAGCCTTGAAAGGACAGGATACAAGGGACACTGGGGAAGAGAGGAGAACACTCCCCAGCAGCGGACATCTGGACAGTAGACCTTCAGAGGACGAGCAGAGAAGCCATTAGAAGCTGAATGATGAGTGAGGCCCTAGAAAAGGCAATTGTGCCCTGGCAGGGTAGCTCAGTTGGTTGGAATGTTTTCCTGGAAAACCAAGGATGTGCGTTCGATTCCCAGTTAGGGCACATACAAGAATCAACCAATGAATGCATAAATAAGTGCAACAGCAAATCGATGTTTCTCTCTCCCCCCCACTTCCTCTCTCTCTCTAAAAATCAATATATGTTATTTATTTATTTATTAAAGAAAATGCAATGGCATGGGGGAGGGAAGAAAGAAGTGGTGGCTCAGAAAAGAGACAAGAATGTCCATCGGCTTTCCTGCATAGCAGCAGTGTGTTCATAACAAGTGATAGAACAGCCCAGCCGGTGTGGCTCAAAGGTTGAGCATCGACCCTGCACCAAGAAGTCGCCAGTTCAATTCCCAGTCAGGGCACATGCCCAGGTTGTGGGCCCGATCCCCAGTGAGGGGCATGCAGGAGGCAGACGATCGATGTTCTCTCTCATTGATGTTTCCACCTCTCCCTACTTCCCCCTTCCTCTCTCTCTAAAATCAATAAAGAAAAAAAAAAGTGATAGAACAAGTGCTGAAAGACTCAAGTCGAGACCAGAGTTCTCTAGCAAGTCCTTTCCCCTCCCTGAGCTCCTGTTTTCATCCCAATTGGAAATAATACTACTTCTCCTGACTACCTCACAGGATTGCTCTGGGGGCCAAAAGAAATAATGGTTTGAAAACGAATGGTGTTTTGTAAACTATAAAGCCCCAGGCAAGTGTAGGGTTTATTATTATTCTTTTTTATTTTTTTATTTTTTTTTATTTTTTATCCTCACCCGAGGACATTTTTCCATTTTTTGTTCAGATAGAGCAGGAGGGAGAGAGAGGAAGGGAGAGAGAGAGAGAGAGAGAGAAACATCGATGTGAAAGGGACACATCGAGTGGCTGCCACCCGCACGACCAACCAGGGCCGGGGACAAACTGCAAGCGAGGTACGTGCCCTTAGCGGGAACCGAACCCGGGTCTCTCTGTACCGCAGGCGGATGCTCCAACCGCTGAGCCAAACCGGCCAGGGCTTATTCTTAATGTTGTATGCATTATTAAAGGAAACAAGGAAAAATTTTAATTTATGCAGAAAGTAAAAGAACAGAAAAGACTCTTTATATTCATATTTGCATCATCTGAAAAATCAGCCTGGGAAGGGAGAATGTATCTAAGGTAAGTACTTTCCAATACTGAAATTACTTGCAAATAAAATGAAATTTCATTTGTGAAGCCAGGCCTGTTCTTTTACATTTAATGATCAGGATTACTGAACCATCCCTCTTTTGTTTCTGCATCTTTCCAGTTGGTGAACCAATGTTCAGATTACAAATAAGCTGAGAAAGAGCAAGGATGGGTAAAATGTGCACACTTCTTCCACAGGTTATTTCGGGGGCATGAGGGCAAGGAGGGGAATGGGCACTTTGTCAATTTTAGTCATATTCTGTAAAGATTTCTCTACCATTCAGTTGTGGGGCTGAAAGGTATGTTAGATATCATCAGCACCAACTTCCAAACTTTACATATGAGGAACCAGATACTCTAAAGTTGTTACATAGCAAGCTAGTGGCAGAGCTAAGACGCCAATATAAAGTTTTCAAGTCCTAATCAAAAGGTCTTTGGTCTATAGAATGCTTTTCCCATCCACTGGAATTCAGGCAGGGACCTTGAAATGTAGATTCAGATTTGGGAAGAAAGGTTTTACAGAATCTCACCCCAGCCCTTCTCTACAACTTCATTTCCCATGTCCCCAGTCTTAGCCTCCCCTGAGGAAACCCCAGCTCTACACGTTCAAGGCAGGTGAGATCGCTGGCCATGTTGTGCCTGCTTCCTCTCCAGGTCTAGTCTACTCTGCCGGGGATGGGTGGCAGTGAGTCTGTCCTTGGGACTGCCATTACTCTCCTCCTCATTCTTTCCAGACTGTCTTAGCAGGCATTTTGTTCAACAGGAAGCTTGGCTCTGCACCTCTGGTCACATGCAAATCCAGATAATGCTGGCAGTCAGTCTTGAAGGCTTAATAAAGTGATACTAAGGCAAAGAGGAAAGACCCATTAGCATATCAGCCACTGCACAGTCACGATAAGTTTCATGCCAACCTTGGGAGCATAATTCCACATGCCTAGTTTCAATAAGGCAGATGGCACAGTCACTTCTAATTATACTGGTTATTAATTTTTAGCATGGAGGACGGTAACTGAGATCATGTACAAGCAATATATCAACTGAAAAGCACCTATTTCCACCCCCCTGAGGATCTAATTAGAGAACCAAGGCAGAGATACCCAGAACTACACAACTACCTATGCACACACACACACACACCCCACTACATCCTCACCAATCCATTCAGATAACCATGCTAAGATGCTCAGACACACACTAGCACACACATTCAGCCCTGAGGCATACATTGATACAGAGTAAAACGTATCTCAACTACATATTCCAATATTACCATGTAGCCTCATTAACTCCCTCCACACCCATGCGGGCACCCCTCTCCTGGTCCGTCTCTGATATCACTCAGCGTAGCCTTACTGTTGCAAGTGCAGTACTCCCTTATTTGGAGGGAGAAATTCACCTCCGTCCCTCACAGCAGACAATCAAGAGTGTATTCCTCTTTGAAGGCAAAAACCCAGCTCCCCAAACACCAAAGCACCTTAGCTCCCATGTTCATGAAAAAATGGAAGATGCAATTCTCAGGTGTCAATGTATTTAACACATCGCAGCGAATGACTGATGCTGTTTTCCTCCTATTCCTTATTAACATTAAGCAGACAGACCAACAACTTAAAGTATTTTCAGTCTCAAAATGGATGCATCCAGCTATTTTTTAATGTGTAGAAATTCACTCGAAGACCCAATAAGGTTTCCAAGTCACTTCTCACTGAGAAACGTAACTGCAGCTGAAAAAAATTTTTTTTTATGACTGCGTTCCCTTTTACCAAAGAGGAAAACAATACTTTGGAATAATCAGCAAAATGGAAGGAGGGGTGGACGAACCACCAAGGGAGGTTCAGGAATAAAGCAACAGGGGATTGGTGAGGCGTTTTTTCAGTCTCGCAATCCCAGCTCCCGTGGAACCTTATGTGTCCTGAGTCTGGCAGACATCACCGAGGGAAGCCAACCAGGGCTCTTTTTGTCACCAAGGACATCAATGAGTGTTATTGCTGTTAGCATTATTACTGTTATGTTCCTCTCGCGTGGCAGGGTGCTGGTACTTACCCCAGAAGATGAGCACGAAGGAAGCCAGGGCAAACAGTCTGTTGAAGGCGGGCATCTTCTTAGGCGGATGGTTTCCGGGGCTAAACAGCGATTCCTTTGGTCAAGAACTGCGCCCTCTCAGATACTTTCGAGGAAACCCTTTGGGACGAACTGCCCCAAGGGGGCGTCTTGATGACTGCAAGGGCCAAGCGCTGGTGACTGGGGAGCCAGCTGCGGTTTTCCCTGGAAGCTTCCGTAGCTGACCGCCTCAGTTCCAGGCTGAAATCAGCAGGTCCGCACGCTCTCCCGGAGCGCGGGGCTGGGATCGGGTTCAGCACCTCGGACAGCACCTTCCCCGCCCACCCCGGAACTTCAAATTCCAGTTTCTTCTCGGTGTCTTAGGTTCGCACACGCCCCGCTCGGAGAACCGCGCCGCTGGCTCTAGGCGGTGGGGCTGCCAGAGGGGACCATGCTGATCCAACCTCTCACCTCCTTTCAGAACAGCTACGCGGACCCGGATCCACCCAGACCCCGGAGCTCCGGCTTCACCCGCCCCGGACCCGCTTCTTTAGCTGGGCGTGCCCCCACACCCGAAGCAACCGGCGTCTGAGCTACAAAATTCCTTCCACTTCGGTGCCGCCCACACCCGCCCTCGGGTCTCCGGGGAGGCCTGGAAAGACCAGGAAGGAGGTGGAAGCTGCTGTTTGGCCGGCGATCTCAGAGATCGGGTCGGGGTGAAGAAAGGGTGGCCCCTTCCCCGAAGCTCGCCCCTGGATCTCGCCGCGGCCCGAACCCTGGGAGGTGGGTGACGAGCTCCCCTTCTCCAGGGCCCCCTGACAGTGTGCGCTGTCAGTCTTGACATGCGCAGGTGGCTCTCCACCCTCACCACCACCAGGGACCCACCCCGTGGTGCACACACTCCCCACCCCCAGACAGGCGTGCCCCTCCCCGCGCAGTACACTGCGCCCAGCGCGGGGCGGAGCTCGGAGCTGCGCAAACACCTCCAGCCACAGCGATTTCTTTGCTGGCAGTCTGTCTCCAGGTCTCCCTTTCACATCTCCACACCTCTTCCCAGCAGCCGCACGTCCTCTCACAATTCACATCCTGCAAACAAGCCCACTACTACTCCCCCATCGACGTTTGCCCGCAGCTCCGGGAAGGGGAGGGCCAAATCTCTTTCAGGCAATGACGTCATCTGCAATGTTCATGGTAGTGGCTCCAGGCTTCTCTCCCCCGACCCCACCCCATCCCCTCTCCTCTTGTTCTATCCTTTGTCTAGCCTTGATTAGTGGGTTCCGGGCACCTTGAACGCCGCAAGATAATTCCTACTTAGGAGTGGGGTAGAAAAGAGCTGCACCTGTTCCTCTGTTCACCTCCTCACCTAGTGAGTGATCCAATGTTAGGACAAGAATGGTTATGAGGGTGGGGCAACCCTGTCTTGCTCTAATCACTATTAATTCATCATTCACTCATTCGTTTGGGTTAAAAGTAGATAGATTGGTTCAGCGTCTTCCAGCTGTTAGCCACTCCCTTGTCCTAGCAGCTGTTTCCACGCCTCTTCCTCTGGCGGGAGAACCTGCGCCCTTCACTTCAGTTATAAACCCAAACTGACATAACAGATTAGGAACGCCTGGAACTGCAGTAAAAGAGTAATTTAAGAACTCCCCCTCCCCTTTCTCATTCCCTCCTGGCTCGGTTTCCAAAAGAGGAAGCTTAACACTGCTATTCCAAAAAAAGAACAGCAGACAAACAGCTGACTGTAAGTGAACCATATGCAGGAAATTCTCCCTCCTAACATATCACAGACCAACAGAATGTCCCCAAGATAGAATCTTCGTGAACATAGAGCCACCAGGCCATAAACTGCATGTAGTTTTTAGACTTGGGTGAGGAAGTTGAAGTTGATTTGATTCAACCTTTTGCCCAATTCAGAAATCCCCCAAGAACATTCCTAATGAACAAGCTTGAACTTCTTCAGTGATGAGAGCTTTCTACTTCGTAAGTCAGTGTCTTTTATTGTTTAAGGACGTTGTTTATATCCACTTACATTCGGTACACTCCTCCCTTCACAAACTCCACTAAGTGGTCCTCAATCTGTTTTCCTGAAAAGAGCCATGCTTCCCCACACCCCACCCAGACCTTTTGTTTGTGAGTTTCTTCCTGGGTACCTGCTAGTAGTTCCCAACCTTAATCATCCTGATCCTTTCTCAAGAGCATTTTTAGTTTATCAGCATAATTCTCAAAGTGACATCCAGGACAGGAGCTGATTGCTCTCTGTGTGGTGTGACCAGCATAAATCAAGGGAATGATGGCTACTTTTGCTTTTGCAGTGGTTCTCAACCTTCCTAATGCCGCGACCCTTTAATACAGTTCATGTTGTGGTGACCTCCAACCATAAAATTATTTTTGTTGCTACTTCATAACTGTAATGTTGCTACTGTTATGTCTTAGGCGACCCCTGTGAAAGGGTCGTTCGACCCCCAAAGGCGTTGTGACCCACAGGTTGAGAATCACTGCTTTGGAGGGTATGTCTGTTCAAATATGTTTACAGCCATATCTCACTCATAATGAGATTATAGTGAATTAAAATACCTAAGCAGTTTTCATTCAACCTGTTGCAGAGTCATTTTGTACTTAGGAAATTTTGGAAAAATTAATATGGAAATCTATACTTACTGTTGTTAAAATTTATTAGTTTCAACCAATGATCACATCCTGTTAATACTTTTATTGAATCTAGATTAAATCTTTAGCTTTGTTTCATCTCTAAATTTGGCAATCATGGATCCAAACAAAGATTTAAAAAAACAGGTAGAAAAAAAGGGGAAGAGTTCTTTGGCATGCTTCTAGAGCCTGCACTCTAGCTTGACAGGAGTTGCAACTTACACTTGTTTGGTATGGTCACCTGGTCACAAATAAAACCCAGACATGTCTGCCTGTTTTCCATGTCTATAGCATAACACATTCAAAAAATTTCAAACAAAGAGAAAAGAATTAGGATCAATGGTTTACATTTACATGTAAATAGATTTTCATCAATATATTTCAAAAACTTGCAAACTGAAAAAAATTACTTTTTGTTATGTTCAAGAAGCTGTTACCCAAACAAATACTGGGATATTGTGAAAATAGGAAACTTTCTATAGGTTATAAGTTTGAAATAGATTATTGATAAAGAGCCAATCATCTTTGAGATTCTGTAATTGAAAGTCTTACTCAAGTTCCGCTGGTGTGGCTCAGTGGTTGATCGTTGACCCATGCACCAAGAGGTCAGGTCTCCGGTTTGATTCTGACCTCCTGGGTCAGGGCACATGCCCAGGTTGTGGGCCCAATCCCCAGTGGGGGGCATGCAGGAGGCAGCCAATCGATGTTCTTTTTCTATCATTGATGTTTCTATCTCTCTCTTCTTCTCCCTTGCTCTCTCTCTAAAAATCAATTTAAAAAAAAGAAAAAGAAAAGCTTACTCCAATACGTAGAGTGACATAGAGATATTTTCAGTCTGATAATTCTATGAATGACTACCACTACCACAGTGAGAATTGGCTTAGTTTTACATATTTGATGCTCACTCTTTTTTTATGCTTATTCCTAATAATTACAATATTCTTTTATACAAATTTACTAACCCCATTTTAAATCACCACTTTGAGGATTTTACATGAAGTTTTAGAAATAATGTAATTGTCTCTCTTCTATTGAAAATAGGATCATTTGGCTGCCTTGGCCGGTTTGGCTCAGTGATTAGAGCGTCAGCCTGCAGGCCAGAGAGGCCCGGGTTCGGTTCCCCTTAAGGGCACATACTTTGGTTGTGGTTTGTCCTCCGCCCCAGTTGGGGTCATGTGGGTGGCAATTACTCGATGTATCTCTCTCACGTCGATGGTTCTCTCTCTGTCTCTCTCTCTCTCTCTCTCTCTTCATACCTCTCTTCCTCCCACTCTATCTGAATATAAGTGCAAAAAAAGGTCCTCTGATGAGGATTAATATATATATATATATATGGAAATAGGATCATTTGGTCTTTTCAGTTTTCTGACATTTTCCTTGGATTTTGCCAGTGGCTCCCAGTCACTTCTGCAAGTACCTTAAGTTCCCTGAAGTAGATTTGGCCTTGTTCTGAGAGCTTTTAACTTATTTAAATTCTTTGTTATTCCTTTTTTATCTCTGCCCTTTTGGCCTCAATCCTTGCTTGTTTTTTTTTCTTCTTCTTACTTTTTCCAGTTTGATGTCCATCTTCCCTTTACTGTTGATAGGGGAGACCATCTCTTCGAGCCTCTAGGCAGTGGCCGGAGCACTTTGTTGCTATAAAATCATGCACCTTTCTCGCTGAAAGCCCTTCAGTGGTATCTCACTGCACTTAATAAAATGTGAACTGCTCCCCACAGGCCTGCCCTGAGTCCTGGCTCCTCTCACACTCATGTCTACCAGTTCTTATCTTGTTCACAATGTTCTAGTTACACTTGATTTTTTTTTTTAATGCACCTCAAACTTATCGAGTTTTTTCCCATTATGGAGGTTTTGTACCAACTATCCCCTCTGCCCAGAATTCTCTTCATCCTTCGGCTGGTTTCTTGAAGTTGGCCTTGCCTCAGTGACTTCTTAGACTGGCACTCCCTGGGTACTCTTCCTAAACTAGTTTCTGCCCTCTTTCCCCACCTGAAGTTACTCTGTCTTATTACCTCACTTTGTGTTCTTCATGTCCTCTCTTACTATCCAAAATTGTTTTATTTATTCATGCACTTGCTTATTCTCTGTCTACTCCCATCAGGGGAGGGTGCCATGAAAGCAGAGTGTTGGTTCCGCTCACTGCTGCCCTCCGGTCCCTAGACTGGTACCAGGCCGATCTTCCGTCCTCTATGAATCTGAAAGAATGAAGAGATGAACGGATGAGGGAGCAGAGTGTGCAAAGAGGCAAGAGCTGAGGCCACAGTCAATAGAGGAAGGAAAAAAAGACTAGTCAAAGAAATGGGAGAAGGTCCAGGAGGGTGCAATGCCACAATTTACAAGGAAAGAGAGAACCTTGCCCTGGCCGGTTTGACTCAGCAGTTAGAGCATCAGCCTGCGGTCCAGAGAGATCCGGATTCGGTTCCGGCTAAGGGCACGTACCTCGGTTGCAGTTAGTCCCCAGCCCCAGTTGGGCTGTGCGGTGGCAGCCACTTGATGTATCCCTTTCACGTCGATGTTTCTCTCTCTCCCTTCCTCTCTCTCCCTCCCACTCTATCTGACTGAAAAAAAAAAAAAAGAGAGAGAGAGAGAACCTCTATATTTGAGGGACACTCCTGCTTGGAGGGGACCCCAGCTAATTACGCTCAGAGGCTGAGAAACAGATAGGG